ATTTCTTAAAAGACATACCAGAATGTAAAACCACATGAGATGCAGACCGGGCAGCAGTGTTTGTATTATCTTCTTCTCTACAATATTATGAAGGCAAAAAAAATAATATATATATCTACTGGTCATTGGCAAATAAAAATTGTTAATATGTTATTAATGCTTGTACTAACTGAGATTGCCCTCCCTGCAACAACTTTGTAAGTGCAGAATCCCTTAAATAAGTAACCTCAATCAACTGATGATGACTGAAGTAAAATAGCTTAATGTTGCCACTCCTGTGTTAACATAAATTGATTAATAAACCTATACTATATTTTTGGTGAATTAAAATGCAGAGAAAGAAAACAGTCCATGTTGGCGTTAAAGTGGAACAATGCTCTGCTGTCTGTGACGTTGGACTTCCCCACGTGACAAAAGCATGACTAGAGCCCAACCTATTTCCCCAGCAGAGTGTACTGCATTGAGTCAGGACCAAAACCTCACACAACCTAGTAGCCTTATTGAAATTATGCCTATACCATTCACTCTTGGTCAATTGAATTTCCCTCAAAGAGCATTACCCTTTTTAAATTTAATTTAATATTTTAAACACTTACGGAGTAGATAAATCTCTTGATGATGATTCTAGCCTCTCTGGATGGAGAGTAAATGGTACTCGACATACTTGTCCATTCTACAAATAATTACATCAAAAAGAGGAAAAAACCAATAATTCCTCTCCAACAGATCTACAGTGTGTTGTACATGTAGATAACTGAATGTTGGACAACTTGCATCCCAGACAATTCCCCCGGACTACTCAGACTAGCCCCCAAACTCTAGACAATTATTATCTATCCAGGGCAAATTGTCCTGATTCCAGATAACTTATAAACAATCCATGAAATCTATGTAACTATAGAAAAAACTAATTCATCTTAATTAACCCATTCGCCCCTGAACCGCCCGTAACCGCCCGTGCGGATCCAGGTCCTTTCTACCCATTGTGACGTCATCAGTTTTAACGGTCAAGGACAACTTTCTTCACTAACTTGTGCAGAGTGAAGAGATCTTTCAAACCATACCAGAATGAGCACAATTTAGTCAAGGACACCGGAGAAACAAGCAAAAAACCACGTGCCATTGACCGGAAAATCTCCAATGAAAATCTTGTTCCATTACCCAGCTACCTTTCCTTTCACCTAATCCTAAGGTCCTAAAAGTCTCGAAATTTTGCTTTCTGCGCATGCCCGAACTTCGCAAGCTGATATTTTGCATCTGGATCAGAAGGCCGCGAAGTGTACGACCTGTAAACCGGTTTCTGGTAGGTTTTAGCTCTTTATAGCACGATAGTGACCAGAAAACCACTCGACTAGCTTCAAAACGCGTTTTTCGGCAAAATCTCCAGGAGCGAATGGGTTAAAGTAGTATACCACATAGCCCTTGTTTTCTCAAGGTACCAAGAAATGGAAAAATCATTCACGATATCATCAAGCGAACATTTACATCCCGCTCCCTAATTTTCAATATGCAACTTTAGCAAATGAAGACTGTTTATTACACTGTACTGTGGTTTTTGTTAGGGCTCATTTTACTATTTTGTTGAGCACAGCTCATACTGCATTGGACAAATCTGCAAACATTCATACCTCCAACAGAAAGGCCACGTGCCTGGGTCCTACAACACATTCCTTTATAACTTGATCTTTTAGCGCCTCAAGTACAGGAGAACTAAACATAACAAAAACACAGCGATTGTAAGCTATTTGCTGAACCAATAAAGGCTTGCTAGTTTACGTAGTACACATATTGCCAAAAAATATGTTAAGGCCAAAACGTCTTAGCATCAATGAACTTCTCATTTAATGGTCCGTTATTGAGATTTTAAGGATAACAAGTTCTAAGCTCAAAGTCCATGCCTCGTTCATGTTTCACGACATCGTGTAAGTTTCATTCTATATCAAAAAGCCATGCACATGTGCGAAAGCTAACAGCACTTGAACGAAACCTCGCGTAAGTTCAAGTCTAGTGAAGGGCTGTATAAAACACAAATTACATTGACCGAATTCAAAACCTTATTCCGTGATCGCTTGTAAAAGAAAGAAAAATATAAATGAATACAAATATAAGCCAGCTTCATTAATTTAATACACCTTCCCACTGGAGTTTGTCTTACAATTCGATTCAGAGAAAATCCTATTTTTCAACTTTACCTGAGGTAGCCAGGCTTTTCTTTTAATTCTGAAACCTCCTTTAGCCTAAAAAAAAGCAGAAAATGTGTTTTAGATAACATTTAATTCCGGTTTTGATTCTTTGCTTCGCCAAGTCCAACGCTTTGTTTGCGAAAAGAAGCGCACATTATCTAACCTTTCATGTAGTTCTTCTACTGTTCTTGGTAAAGGGTGAACCGCGATGTGAATGGCTGGCATGATGTCCTCAAAGAGAAAATGAAACGTCTAGAACATTTAGAAAGGTCTAGTTCTGTTTTCTCTTGCCGTCTGTGTTTCGATAGAGAAGAAATATAAACATGGCTGAAAAAGAGAACGATGAAGAGGGTTGGAAATTTACCGCCTCGGAAGATACTTCATGTAAAATGTCTCTTTTAGTATGTACCGCTGGTTTTACAGGACGCGGGCACTTTTATTATCCAACAACACCAGGAGCCCCGTATGGGCTCCTGACAACACTGGTTGAGGGACTTTGCCAGACTGCTTAAGGTGCAGTTAACAACTAATGAAGGGATGAGTAATGATGCCCCCATACATGAGTATGAAAGTGAGATAGACCACTAAACCGGGTACTATGTTCCCTACTCTTTACGAAGAGGGTGTGGGTTCTTTAACGTCCCACAGATTTTTTATTACATGTGCAAGGGCTTGTGAGGCGGGGTCTACGGTTTATCGTCCTTATAACATTATAAGAACCCTTAAAAACTGAATGTAAAGAGAGTTCGCCACAGGAGCTCTATTCATTGTCACTGGAACACTGAGGAGCTCAACAAGGGTCTATAAGGGGGTGGGGGTTTGGGCATCCAAGACAGCCTCTGATCGAAATAGAATAAAGCGGCCTGCAGAAAGCAACCAAACATGTGAGTTTGGCCCTTCTTGAATTTTTTTTACCAAATGTAGCCAACAATTGCAGAACACCAACATAACATCTGCCAGTGCAATTTCAGGAGTATAGTTAGCGATGGCCAGCATAAACTGAGAAAGCTTTTGCCACCTGCATTTTCCACACAATTCAACCCGGACCCGCGCACGTATAATCTCTCGAATTGTAAGACCAATAGGTTCGAGAAAAATAATAATAATGATTTATTGACAGTATTACATCCGTCATACTAAATAAAAACTAACTCCTTACATAATGTTACTCAAAACTCACTCAAAACTATAAATGCTAAAAAAGAGCTATAACTATTTACATAAAGCACTTAAAAACTGTTAAAACCAAGATAATAGGTTAAAACTGTAAAATCTAAAATACCATAAGTAAGAAACCTTATCAAGACAACTTATAAGGTTCAACTTAAGCGCATGCTGGCCCTACCCTTTAAAATTGTAAAACAATTATTTTTAAAAGTTTTTAAGTGTGGACACGCCTTACATTTGCTGGTAGGGCAATGAATAAAGTCGCTACCTGGAAAGTACCCTTAACTAAAGAAATTTCTGCGGGGAGTGGATAAGTGACGGAGTCATTAAAGTTAAGTTTGGATAGGACAAGGCTTTGAACAAGAGACTTCTTAGTCTTTTGTGGTGTCATATTCTTGATCTTTCTGAGAGTGGCTAGCACTTTATAGCATGGTCAAGATGATGTGACCTCAGTTTACATGCTTTGTTCACTTAAGGATTAGCTTTTTATCGGGCTTCATGTCAATAATCTGATACGTTCTGAATGTTTTAAGACCGTAAGTGTTTTTAAATGTAGACTGTTTTTAGATAGTTTAATTTTATATGTAATACACAATTCAGCCATTCTATTCTAGTCAGAACAGCCGTGATCTAAGCTCTCACCAATTAGTACACTGCCAATCAGTGCACCGACAAAGAAGGACTAAATTATGATACCCTTCAAAGCTGAGCAGCTGAGGATGACTTGTGCTACTCTTAGTTGCTTTTATTTCTGCTCTTTGAAAGGGGGCACTAAAAGTGGTCGTCCGAGCCACATAAAGATCCAGCCGTTTGTAGGGCAAAGGTAGTACCTTTTCCCTCAGTTATCTGAGGACCCTGAGTATTTTTTCCGGTCCCGCGGAATCCAATCCGACCTCCCTTCTACAGGATAGCGCTCGACCGGCTGAGCTGGTTTCTCAGCAATTGTGGCACCAGTAATGGGCTTTGACTACATTTAGAGTGTTAACTTTAAGAGAGTTGCTTCAAGAGCAACCACAAGCAACCATGGTGTGTTACTAAATGAATCCAGCTTAGAATATCTATACTTCCGCCAGGTGAAGACCAGCTGCGCGTTGTCAACACGTCACGATCGATAGCAAAGTGACTGTCTTGTGGCAAACGATAAAAGAGCACATGCTCAAGACTGTTAACGAATAATTACCGATGATTTCTGGCGAGACTTCAGCCGCAGGCTTCGGAAAGGTTTTTGCAAGTTTGCAAGTTTTGTACATCATTTTAATTTTCACCTGAAGAAGCCCTTTTCTGGAGACCCAGTGGCAGTCAGTCGGGTCGGAAGAAAAGCTGCAAAAAAGGTTTCCAAGCACAGCCGGGCAATTAAAGTACGGACAGAGTTTAAAAACTTTCGGACTGCTGTTTCTGCCGATCCCACTGACTGCCCCCGAAAAACACCGATCGGTTTTTAACTAGTTCGAAGATCGGGGTAGAGGTCAGTGCTGGTGCTGAACTTCTTCATTGTCAAGAGAAAAAAATTGGTTTAAGCACCTTGGAAAAATAGAGCTAGGAAAAACTGGGGGGTGGGAATGACAGCTTTCAACTTTCAGAGGCCAACTCAAGCGTGCGCATATATAATCACCAGAGAAAAAGTTACATCCATTTCTTTTTCTTTTCTTCTTTAATGTATTATTTTACTGAGATTTACATCCATTTCTTTTTCTTTTCTTTTTTAATGTATTATTTTAATGAGATTTACATGTAAGTAAAGAGAAGGCAAAGAACAAATAACACATAGCCAACCTTCCTCACAAAAGTTGTCTTGCAAGGGTGTAAAATAATCAATTTAACGAGATGATCGTTACATTTACTAATACTTTATCACTGAAGTGCAGAAGTTTTTTATTTGCTGTTGAAGGTCTACACCACACTAGCTCCTGTGAATATGTTTCGTATCTTCCAATTAGATCAGAGAATATCGTTTCATATTGGACCGCTGCCCAAACGATCTTGATTATTGGACAAAAAGTGGCAATGATATAAACACAAATCAACCAGCTGATCGTTCTTCACAAGAGGAGGTATTTAAAAATATTTATATTTCTTTCAACTGAGCCGCCAAACAACGTTCACCTAAAGAGCAAACGGCAACTCGTTTTCTGCCTGGGCGACACCGCTAGCAACACAACACTGATTCTATGTGATCCTTAGCGTTTATACCAGGAACTGAATATTTACACAAAAAATATATAAGTTTCATGTTACAAACGTATCTTCTTGTTTACACTTTATATATAAACCGAAAACCAAAGATTCTACTTGTATTTAATTGCAAGGCATTAATACTAGAACAGACAATAAATTAGAAAGTTTTTTTAACTTAAAAGTTCTCCTTGTTGTAGAAGAATTTAACACCCTCAGCATCGTTACTGTGCTCATTAGCTTCCTTGTGGAGTTGATGAGAGAGGACAGCTGGTCCACAGAAAAATACCCCGATGTTGGTTCTGCAAATTAACCAGAAACAGGTTAAGTACTGCGTGGGTCCTTATGTATACGCTGAAGGAACATATCAATAAATCTCAGTCGGTCGGCCGCAACTGGATAGTTATTTACAAATATGGTCGAAGAGCTGAACTCATTTGATCATATACATATGCGAATTTGCACGTTGTAAGAAATGAAATAACTAAATTATTCTTTATTACTCAGAGGCAACGAGTATCAACTAGTGCAACATGGCCTATGAAACCCACACCTTGGCACTGTTTTCACTGTTGCCAAGGGCGCGTTCCAGCCTCATGCACGAACGGAATATGCGTGACGAGCCAAAAGAACGCAGTCTTCTTGGGAGGCTACCACACCACCGTCTCTTGAAAGGTGAGGAAAAGAAACCAGTAAGTCCGGCTTATTATAACACTAACCTTGGGTGATTCCTGGCGATTTGGCTAAAAATTCCTTTCCATTCAGGCCGCCCATATTTTGTCTTCTGCTGCAAACCTGTAATGATATCTTCCTCTTCGTCCTCGCGCAGAAAAATGGTGCGTGCCTGTTCAGAGAGAGCAAAATGATTTAGAAGCTAAAAAACAAACCTCTAAATAACAATTTTCTGGCTGCAGAAATGCAACGTATACTAGTAAGTTACACGGAAAACTCCACATAAGTTTAAAACAAACTAAAATACTCTTATATTCTTCCGTGGTGTACTATGTTTACCACCTCTTCATACAACAAAATTTTTTTTTAGTAAATTACACTGCTCACCATATTTGGACCCCATCCTCGGGTAAGGTAAATGTTGTATTCCAAAAAGTCTGCATTTCCAGAAGCAACCATCTAATAAACAAATAAACAAACAAACATAAAGTTTAAGCGAGTTATAAATGCTGAAGTGTGATTAGTAACAATACCCATCTTAACACCTGGGTACAGATTAAGTAAATAAATATCAGCAACCATAAGGTGGCACTTTGTATAATAATTCAAGATTTTGCTAATTACTGAAAAAATGAGTTTATTAAAATTTCATGGTTGCAATCGAACTTACCCTGTCTTCTAAGTACTGTAGAAGATCTGTGAACCATTCAAAGGCATTTGTGTCAGGGCAGATCCAAAAAAAGTAGACCTTTTTCACCAATGGATTAACGGTGTTCTGATTATGCTGATGCCTGGAGACAAAGATAAAACGTTAAAGTCCATAGTCGTGAATGGAATAAAGGAAAAATAAAGGAATTGAACAAATGCACATAAATACTTTCCTGGGTAACAAATGTATCGCCATTACATTTATGGCATTAAATGAGCACCTTGTAAGTGATGAATGGGTGAAACTGAAGACAACGAAATTTAACTTTAATATAACAGGCGCCATATGTTGTCCCGAAAGTCGCTTGATGGTGGTTTGATGAAACATAAAGCGAATAATAACCATATTTTCTTCTACTTGACATCTTTATTTGTTATTTTAAAATTTTATGACAATTAACTTACCATATAGACTTAAGAACTGAAGCGAAAGGTGTCACTCCAATACCCGCTCCGATACACATGACCACAGGGTACTTGAACACGTCCTACATAAAAGTATACATAGAAAAAACATCAAATAAAATAAAGCATGTCTTTACAGGATTCCCGCCAAAGACGGGTGCGGGTGCGGGTGCACAGGTGGCGGGTTCAGAGGTGGAGGCTTTACGTTTACGTGGGAAACAAATAAAAAGACTCAGTTCTTATAAGAAATCCGGTGACTTTAGATTGAAACGGCTAACAGGCGCCATAAATATAATGGCAGTTGGATACAAGACAACATTTTGCCTTAAGCTATTCGAAAAGACTCAAGCATGAATGGAACTTACCGAACTTGCCGTTCCAAAAGGGCCATCGACTGCAAGTCTACGAATCATAAAATATAACAATAGGGGTAAATCATTAAGAAAGTGGAATGTGAGAGAGTATTTAATCTCTTCAGCAAATTGCTTCTCCTAATACTTTTGAAGTTCGTCTGGCGGAACTGCTGATTTCATTAAGTTTTACAGGACGCCGATTTCCTTAACAACGCAATTATCATTATCATTATTGTATGCTATTGCAGATTAGCTGAGCTGAACAGTAATAAAGGACTTAATTCGTCTAATGTGGATAATAGGATACTACCAATATTTATGTTATTTGTATTTATTGGCCACATATAACAAGATTATTACAAAAAGATACAAAAAATGTACGAAGAAATGCCGAAAATGCCTAAAGGAAACTATGAAGGTTATGTTAATTAGGCCTCCTCAATTACAATTTTTCAAAGATGGCATAAAAATTACGGCGACGGATACAAAATATTATTAGATGGAAAATTAAAATAACAATCAAAATTAAGGAAGTTTACAGATGTTGAATATTAAACAGCTTTTCCCCGAGATTTTTGTTAGGGTATACTAATAATTTTTACAAATTAAGTGATCTTTTAAAGGAAAAAGGGGAGGAAGAGTTGATGATGTTGGTGTTTAAGTTGTTATAAAATTTAGGTCCTTGATAAAATACCGAAAATTGTTTGATTCGAGCTCGACAGAAAGGCAGACGAAATTTACAAGAGTTTCTTGTATTATACGAATGAATTTGATTTTGTAAGGAAATGAAATGAAATGAAATTTTACAGGTTAAGTATGGTTTTGATAGGTGTACATGAATAAGCCTAGTTGTATTAGGTATATATCATGAAATTTTAAGATATTTAGATTTTGAAAGATTGGATCATGAGTATGTGCATCGAAAGGAGTTTTAGCTATAGTTCTGGTCACTCGTTTCTGTAAAATCTCAAGACGAATAAGGTTAGTTCTGTAAGTTGAAGCCCAAACTAAGTTACAGTAAAAAAAAGTATGGATATACTATAGAAAAATAAAATGTTCGTAAAGGTTTCGTAGATAAATAGAAATTGGATTTAGGAATAATTCCTATGGATTTAGAAACTTTATTGGCGACATGTGAGATTTCACAATTCCAATTTAAATTTTCATCCTTGATTACTCCCAAGAAAACTGTTTCTTTTACCTGATCAAGCAGTCTTTATCCTTGTGAGACAGAAAAACGTTTGTATCATCGGCAAATAATATCAATTGAAATATTGTTGACGCGTTGATACACTGTATCGTTGATGAAGAGCAGAAAAAAGGCCCTAGTATAGAACCTTGGGGAACGCCTGTCTGAAGCCAAGAATTTCAGATAATATAGAATATCGATAAATTGACAACGTGGCCAAGTCTTATGTCTGTGCAGTTTTCCGTAGCTGTGTTGTTCTTCAAAATGAGTAACACAAATTTATAGGGCTCACTATGAGGACGCCATATTTGTGCTTCTCCGAGGAGCACAAGTAAGATGGAATGATTGACTGTATCGAAAGCTTTCGAGAGACCTAAAAAGACACCAACCTATAATTCACCACGATCGATAACAGATGATATTTTTGCATGCAAATCAATCAAGGCAAGCGTCGTAGAGTGTTTTTTTCTGAAGCCGAACTGGTTATCACAGAGAATATGTAAATTAGTTAAATAGACATACAATCGATTAAAGATAATTCTCTCTAGAAATTTTGAAAAGCTTGGTAGAACTGAGACATGGAGCAAAAGCAGCAAAAATTCTACTGATGGCTTCTTCATAACCGACCTTGGCATATCAGCAAGACTTCTTGCTTCTTTTCCATCTCCATTAAATTCTTTAGCCAATCCTCCTAACGATACAAAATAAATAAACAGGTCACTTTCAACATCTGCAGCTTAGACGTTTAACCTTTTTTTATGTAAACATTGTTAACCCTTACCTGTCCAATCTCCAACTATACGAATATGAACAGAGAAAAAATCGTCCTCAGGCGCCTGACAAAAGAAAAAAAATCCCCAAGAAACAATCAATTTAACTGACATGTCAAATCATTTTTGCCGTTCGTGGTTACTTAATTAAGTCCACTTCACATCGTTATTGCTCTGTGTTCAAGAAACGAGAATCTGTCTCATTTGCCATACCAGTTATATGTCGACATTAATGAGTTTTAACGGTCTTCAGAGACTCGATTCTTTAAAGTCCAGGAGCGTAGCGTCCATATACGCACATACGCGATACGTACATGTACAGCTGAAATTTGGAAAAGTTAATCGTTCTTTATCTCCTGAAAAAGTCTTTTTCATCATTTTATCGGGATGACTGGTACATTTTCCGCACTATATTGGTGTCTTTGTGTTATTATTTCTTTTACCTTTCATTACTCCATAATTCTGATGGGGCCATTGGCCTTTTTTTCCGTAAACAATGCACCTTCCAGACTACACAGGAGATGGGTAAAATAAGCAACTGAGCAATTTTTTACTCAAAATGTCCGGCGGAAAACACTGGAAATGGCATTTCCGAGACCCTAAATTGAAACATTTTCCGAGGGAACATGCCCACAGATCCCCCTACATTAGGCCACCTTCCGTGCTACAACGTTTCTTCCCCCTGTGAGTACACCTTCAAAATGTCACGCTACGCCCCTGAAGTCGCGATACTTTTCCGACTCAGAAAGTTATTTCATGCTTACAACTGATTGTCCAAGCCTTGGTTTCTTTTGCAATTAACGCAAAAAATAAAAATCATTGAAAGTAACTGCAAAATACAACCGGAATTTCAATTTTGAGATTTTAAATGTTAACGGGACATTCAGTCCTAGATCGAGAAAGTTTTATGCTTTCGGCATAAGTTCAGACCGCCACTATTTCAACTGCTAATCATGCGAAGTGTTTTCCTGAAGTGTAGGATGAGTGTATATGCTTAACTAAATACCTGTAGGCCCAAAAACGTGCCTTCTACAAAAATTATGTTCTTGTTGCTGATGATGTGCAACCGTGGCAGTAGTGAAAGCTTACTAGTGTAAAGTCTCTTTAGTCATCAGGCAACTTACTGTCCGCGACTTACCGATGTAAGGGTGAAAGGATGCCATTCTAAATGAGAAAGCTTTGGACACTTCAGGAATATGTACTAAAACAAAAAACCATAAGACCGTCAACATTATTGTTGCTTCTTTATTGAATGAACAGAATAGAATAAAATAATGAAGAAACTGGTGGAGAATTCTACTCTTCTAACTTATAGACTGGTAATCAATGAAAGTATGAGAAACTGAAAAGATCATACCTGTCCAGCCTCGTGATGAAATCCAGCCTTTTTCATTTGTATTTCAATAACTTTAGAGGGATGATTAACAACCTATACCAGTCACAACAGATACATAACTATGTTAACTTCGTTGTTTATGTCTTCGAGGTTTTCTTTTTCACTCTTGCCGCATTTTCAGTCTCTCTTTTCGATTCATCTCGCCACACTAAATTCCACTTTACCTCACGTTATTTTTTTTAAGTAGCGTGAAATCCATACTACGTCACTTCCATGCATCTGTAAATTCGTGATCTTCCTAAGAAACCTGATGAATACTGGTATTCTTATCTATATTGGCCATTCCGGCGAAATCATTGTAACTACCGTCTCTTCACTTTGTTTGATCAGTCCTTGCAGTTGTCTTTTGTACAAAAATGTACTCTTTTTAGTACTTTTGACTGATCGCGATCCTTTTTGATCCGACATTGAGCAAGACTGATGATCGTACACCGTTTTTTTCAGTGCACTGGTCTTGTATCTAAACTTTACATTATTTATTACAGAATAGTTTACTTTACGGATGAAAGGAAATTTGTTACAGTAGCGAAACAAAGCGAAAGGAGAAAAGTTAGGCAAGAGTCACAAAACCAGCTGTAAAGCGGTAAAGACACAAATCCTTTTAATACTGCAGGCAAGTGGCTAATATCTTACCTTTATTATTTTAACCGCCTGGAATGAGCGATAAAACCTGATAAATCTTTCGATGAGGTACAAGAAAATAGGCCCAACCACCCACTTCCACGTCTGCAAAGTAAAACGAAACATGAATAAGACGAATAAGCGGGCATGCGCAGTGATCAATAACGGAGCGGCAGAGTGAGCGGCAGTGTTGGAACATTCTGATTAGAAGTTAAAACTTACATTCATTCCAAAGGGGACAAAGTGAGGAGGAGTAGAGCACTGAGGTGTATTTCTCCACTCGGTCACGTTCTTGGAGCACTCTTCTGGGTCATGGTCTTCTACGTTTGACTGAAACCGGACAATACCCCTAAAAAACACAAAATCAGGGACTTGTTGGTTACGCCTTGAATAAGAAGCCATGTGCAAGCAACAGTAACGGATCCAGGGAGGAGACCCTTCCGGGACTGTAAGCCACTCCATCCCCGTTAATGAAGCTATCAGATCATTATCTATTTTGAATAGCTGCGGGTCTAAAGAGCTTTGAAACTGATTGCTAGTATAGAACACTCCTGAGCTGGCTCAAGGACATCAACAAATTTGCCTGTAATGTGTAATGAGATTTACTGGAAAACAAGTGAACGGTGAAGAAGGGTGAAAGTTTGGAATTCCCTAATAAACGAGTCGTGGATTCACCACCGAGAAAAAAGTAAACTACAAAGTTTGGGGATGCTTTTTGCAGATTTTCGGTCCCTTTGTTTGTTTTTGATATGTTTTATATGTGAATACTAACAAAAGAACTTGTGCATTCTCTAAGTCAGTATTAAATTACTCAATAACAAGATGGTAAACTCTCCTTTCCATCGTTCCGGTTTTTTGATACCAAAAAAGTCGTTAAATGTTATATCCAGTCTCATTTTATGTTTTAATGAGGGGTGGGCGTTGGTATGTAATTTGCAGGATTTCACGAAGCATAGTATAGCTATAAACTCGCCGTTTTTTCTTTTTCTTTTCTTTTTTTTGTATATTTAAAAGATTCGTTTTGTTAATCTTCACTACTTACTCTATACCATGAAGAATCAGTCCAATATAAAAGATGACAAAAAGGTGATGGCTGTACCAAAAAACCTCAAAATATGACCGCCTAAGGAAAAACAACTGGAGATTAGTACATAGTTTTACTGTTTCAACACCATTCCAAACCATTCTTTCTTACAGGTTATACAAGCCAAGCACAATTGATTTTTAAGATACACTGATTCGCATCGCGATTTCAGTACAGATGCTGGCCTGGATACCTAGCGTTGGATTGAAATGAGGAGCTAACTCTATGCTTATTATTTTTGGTTTGGTTACAACACAGCCAACAAAAACAAGAGTAAAACTCATCTCAGTTTCTAACGAGGCTAACAAAGCTGAACCACTGATGAAATAATTAGTATGTACCTTATAAGTTCTGTCGATGAAGAAACCTGAGAACAAATAAAAGAAATAAGGTATTTCATGTTTAATATTTTTATATACACGTATCCAATTTTCAAGTGTCTAAAACGCATAACTGTAAGTTATGAAAAATTGAGTGTTTTCGGTTCATTGCCGGCTACAAACTAATTGCAAGTGCTCCATATGTTTAGTGAAGAGGTGTATGGATGTGAAATTGAACTATCTCTCTAATGACTGAATCATGGTTGAATTTACCGATGGTGGTTGCCCCAGTAATCTTCACTGAACGTAAAGGAAATCACAGCAGTAGCACAGGCCGTAGCCTCCCCGCAGACGTCCGTAGGGGCTCGTTTGTTGTCACGCATTCATTTCTCCCCACGGACTCTCTCCGTGGGGAGAAATGAATGCGTGACAACAAACGAACCCCAACGGACGTCTGCGGGGAGGCTACACAGGCCGGGGACTAAAGATAACTCAGTCGGAAATGGCGGCCGCCTAAAGAGCAAGTGTGTTATGGCTACAACTGAAACAAGGACAATGGACCATGAGATAATTTAATGAAAACAGTGGGACATCGGTTCAAAAACTAGGTTAATGGTATAACACTTTTATCGACTTTTTTTTCTAAAATTACACAGTGGTTGAATTTGTTAAACATTTTCTCGTGCATTAGGTGATCAACAACAATGAATGCAAAATGAACCCTTAACTTTTTCCAATTAGCCCTTTGCTGAACTAGGTCTTGAATTTTCGCTGTCTCACACCCTTTACAGAACTTGGTGACGTGCTTAAACAGCACTTATCACCGGCTCACTAGGTGGCAAGCTAACCAAGCGTTTATTCTGATCACGGAGCTTTAAATGCGATCGGGCGAATCCTTCCTAGGTTAATTCAAAAGTCCTTTAAGACTTCTAATCCAGTCAATTCGGTCAATTTTCAACTGAATTAGGAAAGCAATGCTCGATCGCATTCAAAACTTTGTGATGGGAATGAATCAATGTTACACATGTAAGTGGTATTCAAGAATGAGAGCAAGCAGAGTTGAAATGAAATGACTTATTTCAGTATTTAAACGCACTGCAGGGCATTCACAAAGGCTGACCAGTTGACCGTACATGGGTACTAAACTGTAAACATTTACATAGACTTTTGTTAAGGATCCTAAGATAAGATAAGATAATTTATTTAATGTCAGATACACAGGGGGTGGTCTCCCAATCCCCCGAGCCACGGGCTTATGATAAAAGTGTTTGACAATAAACATAACATACTTTTAAAGAACAGATGTCTGCCGTAAATTCGGCCCCTTTTGGCGTCACACAGTGAACGAGACAAGCAAATCTACGTAATACATGCCTGTCATGCCTGGTAAAACAATCTCAATTTGTACTTCTAATCCCAAAGGCAACACTCGTTTGGTAAGGTCTCATGATTAGCACGGTCGCTCAAGGTTACGAAATGTGACTGATGTGTATAAAATAAACATACTAACAGATTTTTAACTCTTCCCTGAGAATTACGGGACACAAACTTTTGTAGGTTCAATGTTACTTTGTTTGAACGTGGCTAGATTAGGTTAATTAAAAGACGACAGTGCAACTTTCTGTTTGCNTGTCATGCCTGGTAAAACAATCTCAATTTGTACTTCTAATCCCAAAGGCAACACTCGTTTGGTAAGGTCTCATGATTAGCACGGTCGCTCAAGGTTACGAAATGTGACTGATGTGTATAAAATAAACATACTAACAGATTTTTAACTCTTCCCTGAGAATTACGGGACACAAACTTTTGTAGGTTCAATGTTACTTTGTTTGAACGTGGCTAGATTAGGTTAATTAAAAGACGACAGTGCAACTTTCTGTTTGCCGGTTCATTAGTTTCCCGGTCTACCCGCTTAGAGATCGAGTGCATTTTCGTGATATTTTCCAGTTGTGCTTGTATGAAAAAGCTCATTGACTGATTGGAGAGTGTTAATGGCCCATAACCAGTTTAACGCGACAACTTTATGACCTTCATGAACTTTACAGAGTAATTTTATTTTTGTGCCAAGTTAAAAAAAAAACTACATGTTTCTCGTTCCCGCCCGCTTCATTTTTGGGGGGCCGCCTCTCTTTTTCTATATTTGTTATTGGAAAAGTTGGAACGAACAAAATCCAACATTCGTGACGGCTTTAAACACCAATCAGTCTTCTACAATCCAGCGTAACAGGCGTTACTTTTCATTTAAGGAACCATTTATTAAATACTTAGTCTTATTGACGTCTAGTTTTTGACGTACCCTACCTATTGAGATGTATCGTAAGACATATCAACAACAAAACAATCGGAAATTATAACAATACCGCTGCACCAGCCTGGGTTTTTAAAATAATGATTTCCTCAAAGAACAACACTCTTCCCTTTGATGGAGTCATTTAATATCGCGCAAGCCAAAGTAGCACGAAACCAGCTAGAGTGATGAGATGTGGTACGCTGTCTTTTAGCCAATCTGATCTAATAACGGATTTTTTGTGTTTAGCTTGATGTTTTGTTTCCCAACGTGTGTCATGTAAATTATTCGTTCATATCCACGTGAAAAACGCAGTCAATCTCAAGATAAGCTAAAGAAGTGTATATTAAGTAATAGGATTCTGATAAACTGATTGTACAGTTTTTCGCTTCGCTACTGCAATATTCACCATGTGTAAGATTTACAAGTGACACGCGGTTACGCTCAAAATAAACATGTGAGAGTTTGGGTACTGGGGGAATTATAACGGTTATGTGAGCCAATTAAATATTTGGTTGTAGCCGGTACATGCTTTACTTTAACTGCAGAACATTTTCATACATACCATCAAAATAAGGCAAAGAGTGATCACAGCTCCCGTTACACCAGAAGCTGAAATGTAAATGGAACATTTAATCAATTTACTCGTCCACTAAGAGTCCTTGTCAAGCTAGACCTATCGCTAAGTCAAGATAAAGAGTAATTGTGCAACAACAAGAAAAAATAATCAGTTTTCTGGGGCCGCAAATAAATTCAGATAGACCAGATTTTAAAAAGCGAGTTGACTAGATTTTTTTTCTTTCAATAAGCGTCAGCTTATTGCCGCATCTTTTATGAAGAACGGAACACTCCTCAAAAATATTTGAGTCCCGAGTCGACATGAAAGGGCTAACCATTAATAAAACTCTATGTCCAAAATAATAACTGCCGAAATATATTGAAAGGAAAGTATGAGGAGTTGATCTTCTTTCCCGTTCTTGTAATAAAACGCTGAAAAAAAGCGCCCTTCTCCGACCACTCCCAACGAAAAAAATATAACAGACGCCACAAAACCACTGAGTTCATTCTCTTGTAACAATACAAAAACTTGTTTAGAGACATAAAAATTATAATGTGCGTCTCGTATTTGAGGAAAAAAAAGAACTTGTAGGCAAGGTTAAACAACGGAAGCAGTGTCCTTTGCCTCTACTTTGTAATTAATGTCAAAACAACTAAATAAAAGAACCCTACCAAGTTTCCACAGCACCACAACTGGAACCTAACGAAAAGTCAGTAAAAACTTTTTAAATTCAAACGACAGTAAGTATGAGTACCACAAAAAAGAACAAACAAACAAGCAATAAGGTACGTCAGGCGGACTACAGCGATCACCAGTACACTGAGTGAGTAAGAATAAGAACGTCTTACTTACCGCGTTTGGCTCTCTTATGGGGTTAAGATAAGTATCGTTAACACTATCTTCAAACATGTTCAACCTCTGGACAAGAAGATCATCGCTCTCGTATGATGAAATGAAAAACTCCACGTTGAAAACATGAGCTACTATATGGATAGCTGTGGACAAGAATTAATGATGTTTCATGATCAGCCCGGGAACTGACAATGCCAGCACGCAGCCTCTATAAACCAGCTAACTATATTAACTTAACTCTCTACTCAATCAGTAAATCACCTGGCAAATGAACGGGTTAGTTTCCAAGAAAAATCTGCTGTTGCATCGGTAGAGCAGTAAAATTTCAAAAACAAAAAATAAAAAAATGTTTCAACTAAGTTGATTAAGTTGGTTGGCCACCGTAGGGGGTTGGATGAAACAAAATTTTGGAACTATCATTCTCAAACTCATTAATAATTCATAAAGAAAATTCAAAGGAAATTAATGTTTAATGAGTGTTTGGATATCAGATGAAAAACTGCTCATTTTTGCATCCTTAATTTCTCCTTCACAAATGATTTTGTTTGAGTCAGTGTTTCATCACCAGATGAAAAACCTCGAAGTTCGCCAAAAATACTCCGCTGCGCGTCGTATTTTCAACTCTCTTCTCGGTGTTTCATCTGGTGATGAAACACTGCGTCTCATGTTTGATATATTACATCAATGTTGGCTTCGTAGTGTCGTACAAACCTGTTTGAAGACATATCATATATGCAATATACTTGTGGAAAGTGACGTGCTTGTCCAGTAAACGCAAAACACTGTGCCCACACTACAATCAACGTAACAAACAGAAAAAACTTTTTTTAGTTAAATATACATAACTTGATACTAATTGTTCTTCTAGCAATTTCACTCTCTGCCATCTACATATTATTGAAACGTAAATGTTTCATTGACGGCTGAACAACTTTCAGTTTCCTTTAATCTTGGCAAATCTGCAACCTCCAGCTGGACAAGTTCTCAACAATAAAATCTAAATCATACTGGAACTAAATTTTGGCGACCAGGCAATTCTTCCTTCGTTTTTAACAAAATAGAGCTATGGGGAGCGAAGCATTGTTAAGGCTAGTCCACGATGGACTATAATATCCGGAGCTAAAGCCGACTGTATATTGGTTCAACTATCGAGCACTAAGAAACATGCTTCCGAGAAAGGAATCTGAATTCAATAGAGGATGATTACTCGCTTTTGAATCCGTATAGATTCGGTAACAATGAAGTCCTCTATAAAAAAAAAATTGTTTTCTCATCTTGCAGAGTTTTGATATCATTTACGATCAAACAAAGTTTATGTTATCACTGATATCACTGCTCAGTATCACTCACCCCCAGGCCTCTAATAGATGAGAGAAGATTTCTACACATGGTCAAAAGAATCAGCATGCAGTTGAAATTTAGCACAGCGGCAGACGCACGAGCCCAAGCCAAACCATCCTGTTAGAATAAAGTAAAAGGAAAACCACTACATTTCAATCGGTGCTCGCTACAGAATGTATTGGTAGTGGTATCTCTGTCGATTCTTCCGTTTAAATAACAGAATTTGTGAAACAACACAAAAGAAGGGTAAGCGCTACTCTGGAATGTTAAGATCAGAGGCGGAAGTCTTAAGAAAGACATTCAGATCCTGTTGTTCCAAAAACAAACCACGGGGTTCCCAGATCTGATTCGAATCTAGATTTTTCCATAAGTGAACACTGCATGATCTCTATTAGATGGTGAATACAAAAAGCACTTACCTTGACAATAACTCGAAGGTAAAAGTTTTTTTTCGCGGTATTAAGGTCTATGAAACTGCTTACAAATAAGTATGTGTTGATTGTCATCCATGCCAGCTACAAAATCAAATGCAAAAATACGCTGTCATAAGAACACTAAGACTAAATAGGGACGTGATTCTGAGTGAGAAACCTAATCGCTCGCCTTCGGCTCGTGATTTACAAGCATTTCTCGTGTTCTCCCAACATCCCGCGTGGGTTATCACTCCGGTAAACCCATGTGGTCTATTGCTTGAATAAAATAACTGAGTAAAAGGGAGTCGTGTTTCAGATTTCTATGAGTTTACCGCCACAATAAACCATAGGTTTTTAACCAATCAGAACGCGCGTACTACCTTTAGTTATTTTATCAAATAGCGTAACCCATCATTTATTATCAAATTGTATTTAGAATGTAGGAAAGCGTTTTTCCTGCTCTTAAAAAACAAACACCCATGGCAGGTTAAGTTGAGATACACCGGAACCTCCTCTTTGGGACACCTCCTGCCTCAGGGGACACTTACATTGACGGGACACAAAATTTGGTGCGCAAAAACAAATGTTCACATAATCATTGTATCTGTTACCTCAATTGAAAGGACACCAGTATTCAGGCGGGGAAAGGGACCCTATTTCTAGGTCCAGAATTCAGAGGAGTCTCCTCAGCTTAAAACTGTCTGACTACAAAAATCATTGTTACGCTCAAGTGTGCACTCGTCACAATGACGACAGCTTTCACAACATAACGGTAAACTATCTCACTTCAATGGACCCCTCCAAAAAATACCATAACATACCATAATGCTCTTTGTTTGTCACCCCAAATTTTGCATAAGCATTGTTTTCATTTTCTCTTGGGGCCAAATGCTTATGCAATATTTTGGAGTGACAAACAAAGAGCATTACGGTATGTTATGGCATTTCTGGACTGGTCAATTGATATACTGCACTTGTGGGAATACAATACAAAATATCGCAGAGATATGTATATGATTTTAATACATTATGTAGCTGCTTGAAATAACAACTGCAGCAGATTCCAAGGCTGAATAAAAAAGTTACATATATTATTTGTTGGTGAATTATTAACAAACCCCAGCCAACCTCCACTCAGGGATATCTGTGCCTTGGTCCCCATGATGTCCCCTGAACAGATCATGAATAGCGTCGCAGACAAGTAACAATAGTATAACAAGTCCTTTGTAGTTTCTTCATATATGGGCAGTGAATAAAAGCGAAAAGCGTATTTAAAAAACGCATAACAGTTCCTTCATTCCCTGCCAAGCTGCGTCTGGGAAAGGAATGCTTTTATGGTTCACACTGTGGTGTCTTAACATGTCTTAAGCTAAGAGAGTAGTTTTAAATGAAGGCCACATTGAAAGCGGACTTACGTTCGTTATAATTTAAATCCGAAACTACTAGAGGAACGAAAGATTATAATGATATTGATCGCTCTAGGGTTTTACGCAATAATTCAGCACATATTCACTGTTTACTCTCCAGTTTAATCATCAAAAAGAGCAGTAAAATACGTGGTCAAACTCTGCATGAAATAAAAGACGAAAAACAAAGAGGGCGTTCGACCTATTGCCTCCTGCAGTATCAGATTATGCCTTCATATGCCATTCTGTGACAAAGAGATTTTAAATCATTACTCCGTGCAATAAGATAGCTACCTACAAAAATAAAATTAAGGATTTTAAAATTGAGTTTAATAGCCAAAATGAATTGTAAATTGTCCTTCGAGTCAGGAAATTGCTAATCTAGTTGGCAACCGAGGTACGCCGGCTGGTACGCACGCTGAATAGTGTTGAATCAGAGTGCCCCATACTTACTGCAACGATGTATCTTCCAAGTTCATTTAGCGCAAATTTTGTCATTATCCACAGATCTTCGATCAGTGACTGCTCCTTATGTCGTCTGTGTCGTGTGTGAGACTAGCTGCTGTAAACCGTCAGGGACTGTGCAATCTGTCATTAAAAAATAATTTAAAAATATGATACTGAAAAAACATTACAGGTCACGTGTGTGGCTATATGTTGACCGTCACGCCTAATGCTTATTGTCTGGCTCGTTGTCAAAAAAAGCACGGAAGCTGGAAACCCTCTTTGAAGGGTAGGTACGATTTCCTGTACTCTGACCAGGAGGATTTATCTCAAAATTTGCTTTGGCAAAGTGTCAAAAGTGGTTAAAAAATGACTCATGAATGCACTAGAGTATACAAGATAATGCCTCATAACAAAGCAAAAATTATTATTATCTGAGGCCATAGCCAATAGCATACAGCGGTTACAATCAATATCCACTAAAAGTGTGCATTCCAGGGCCAGAAAGAGATCAGATAGCAATTCTGTTTAAATTCGGGCAATCAGCCCTACCTTTTATGTTGTTATCACCGCAAGTGGTGAGGTGACAGGTATGGGAGAACGATTTTACTCATTTACGGAACTTATGTAATCTTTCTACACCGAATAACGCACAATATCACGTCCTAACAACTCACATTAAACAAAACAACAACTCATGTGGAATGAAAAGCACAATCAAATCAGTCAAATGAATCACACGGTGATTGGTTCAATTTCAAGGCGAAATGGGCTCCTGGCCGCGTTATATGAGGAGCAATACACTGATTAAACTTGGAGTGTGGAAAGCCGATTGATTTGCTTGTCAGAAGGCGCCTTTATTTATCAGGCCTAAATTTATTTGCATTCTATTGACCCATGACGTAAGGTCTGCAATTCTCTGACACTGAAAACAATTAGAAACAATTTAAACGACAAACGTTTCATTTGTTTTGGGAACTTCAGTGAACTTACGACCCCGTTCCTGCTAAGCAGCCTAAGCAGTTTGCATAAGAAGAAAGGTTTCATACGCAAATAGTCTCTAAACCTACAAAAGGCCCTATTCATTTCGTCGAATTAACAAATTAAGTAAGTAAGTAATTAAGTCTATAAGTATTCGACTTCCACTGTTGACCTGGTATGTGACGTTATAAACGAAGGTGTAAGCTGATAAGACCTGAATCACGTTTTGTGAACTTTATTTAGAAAGTCAACATAAAAACGGTCGTCACTTGGTCACAATGTGGAGGTGGAATAGCGAGTCTCGCCTGGCTGTCGGAAGCCGTATTCACCGAGGATCAAGCGTATTGTGCTTTTTCCTACGTCATCAATTAGGTGTTTCTGTTTAGCTTCCCAACAGGGGCACCCAAATTTTCGGAACACTTGTTAAATTTCTTTTTTGCTTGCCCCTCCTTGGATTTTGGAACATCTAAAAAATAGTATAATTGCCCATTTTTATCGGATTTTCACCCTAACAAGATCACCTAGAATTTGCGGGAGCCCTTTATTTGGCTGAAATTTTCGAAAAGGTAAGTTTTCATCCCTATGATTTTCGGATCACTAGACTTTCAGTTAGGAATTCCGAACAGATGAAAAATTTTTAGGGGATCAAAATATGCCTATATCTACCGCTAAAATACTAAAATACTGATCTTTAAGTGGTTTTGAACTATATTCTCGTTGGGTGCCCCTGTTCCAACGGATAAAATTCTTAATATTATTCGCGTCGTCAGGTGAGAACAGGCTGTCATAGTTATGTGAACTTGTGTGTTGCTCTTTAGTACTTTAACAACTTGCAAAATAAGACATCACGTCTTTACCACATTCGACATAAGTATAGGAAATGTAAAATGTAAAAATAAAAATGTTCTAGAAGTTTAAAATCCTCGCTCTTTTTACTGTTTTTTGGAATAAAAGACCATTTCAGTTTTCTTTGTCCGAAATGACTTCTTCGTCGTGAGCTTTAATCCCAGAATAATCGGGGGTTTCAGAGAACAATCCCTAATTACCACTACTGAAATATACTAATTGCTTTTTACCGTTATCGCCTCCATCATTTCTGCCATTTTCAGTTGATTACACGAATTCAAACCGGGTTTTATAGTAACAGTTCAGTGAAAACGACACTTTCACTGAATTCACATGGAATCAAAGTGAAGTATATGCATGATTCGTCTAAACATTATTATCTTTGTTTACATACAAATAAGTTTAGACGATTCAACTCTGTTGCAAAAACAATCGACAAACAGTGTAAGACACAAGTGCTGAGGTAGTACCTTAACTTTCCCTGCAGTAGAGTTCCAGAACTCGGTCAAGATGATTGGCGTCTTCTTCTTAGTCTGCCCGCTTTAATTAAAACTTATTTCATCTGATCTCAGCACTCCAATGTTGCTACGCTATATTGAAGACACAGTTCTTTGCTTGGCTAAACATGCATGTTGCGTGTGGCATGGAATGAGACAATCACAACGTCATTATCTCTTTTAATTGTCATTCTAATTTACAAGTCAGAATGAATTGCAATATCTGACTTTGATTACTGACGCACTAATTATTTCCCCTGATTGCACTTCATAAGGGGTTGTTTGTTGTTTGTTGTTTGTTTTCTTTTTCTTTTTTCACTTTTCTTTCAAAGGAAATGATTTCAAATCTAACAATTGTAAACAGCAATAGTAATCGATCAGAGGAAAAATACAGTTCTCTTTTTGGAATAAGCAAAAGAGCAATCGTGCATAGCTTTAAAGTTCACTGATGAATTAAACACAATAATTTGAGCCTTGGCGTATCTGTCGTACAATATAGATATACTGTATAACATATTCATGATATGTGGCACGTTTCTGAACAATTCTGAACACCGAGGCCAGTAATGTGTTAGAATAACTCGAACTAGAGGAAGACATCACGTCTTTTTACACATTCAAGGCACCAAAAATCTAGAAACCGTTAAAACTGTAAACAAACAAACAAAAAAAAACTGAAAGTCTTGAGATATACTTTGTTCTTCGAGCCTTTTCACGTTTCGAACTAACTTGGGATCGATCAGGCCCAATTTTAGCACCTTCCATACAGGTCTCTCTTATGTGGTCTCTTTTCGTTTCGCCTTTCCCGCCAGAATTTTATTTATGAAGCGAAGAAAATAGAGCCTGATCTCAGGTTAGTTTCTGACCGCTTAACTATACAGGTTGGCCGTTCATTGCAGTTTTGACCAACCTAAGAAGTAGCTTTAAGGAAAAAGATAGTGTTATTGAGAAGTATCCCGGCACCACTTGACAAAATGACCTTGATTTTTACCTTTTAGTCTGCTAAAACAAATGAAATGAAAGACCATCGAAGGCCTCACACAGTGTATCTGGTGTGGTAGTATGGTACATCTTAGAATGACCTTTTAGTAGCGGTGTACACGATGAAAATAACTCGTTAACACACCCCAAAACGTGAAAACGTGACCACAAGCGTCCAATATGGTTCTCAGTAATTAAAGTAAAATAATGATTTCCCGGCATCTGTTGTTAAATATCAGAACTGTTGTTAAATATCAGAAATGGAGCGAGCTTTGCTAACATTTTTGTTTCCCTGTTTGACTGTACATCTGAAACTGCAAGCTCTTCCTGCCGCCAGAGAGCTCCGGTGAGCTTGCTCGCAGGATACTCTGACGTGAGAATGCCTCTTTCGCAATGACTGTTACTATAAATAGAAGTATAGAAAACGCCGCGGAAACTCTTCGGGGGTCATGCAACTCTACGTCATCAGACTCACTTGTTTCCACTCCCACGTCTCTTTATCAGTGCAGCGATTTTCATTCCGATCTAAAAAAATACTAAAACCACAGATTTAATTAGTTTAGCAAACAGACCACTTTCACAGGTGAAAAAAGATTGCTATAAAGTACTATTTCATAGCTTTTTTTTTCTGGGCAACTGCTTAAACCATCGAACGATGCTTTTTCTAGCTGCGGCCGTTTAGTTTTAGGCGGAAAGGCGACGATCGGGGCGACGAGTCCACGTTTTTTTTTGGCGGAGTGTATCGGCAGTGAAGCGGACACTTTTTTTTCGTGCTCTCTACCGTTTGATATGCTCTATTCAATTCAATCAATCTTCTAAAAGGATGACAGTGCTATCACATTGTAAGTATGAATTGACACAGCATTATTTGACAATGTTTAATGCAATTTAGATCTATTGTAATACAGATTGTAATGTGTGATTGTAAAATTACGAAGAAATTATTTTAGGAGGCTGAGTGTGATATGAATAATTTATACCAACCGAGGAGAGTGTTATTACGTACTCTTGCCATTATTTTTAGTCAGGAAGTCGACTATTTTTGTCTTCGCGTAGACGTGAGCTCTTTCACCATTTTTTGAGCTCTGCACTGATGACGAAACAGCTACGCTGTCGCGCTTATCTCGCTTATGATGAGCGAAGGTTCGTCTGTTAATGCAAATGTGCAAAAAAAGAGCGAAGGCCTGTCCGTTAATGCAAACGTCCAAAAAAAGAAGAAAATAGATGAAAAATATATTTACAGAACAAGCTAAAAATAAAATACTTAAAATAGAAATGAAACACGCAAAAACTATTCACAGAAAATACAGCTACAGTCAAATGCGGGTGACAATGACATTGTTGTAAATTTCTGAAACTTTTATCTTACCATGTAAATTATTCCACTGTTTGGCGGCTTGATATGCAAAAGATGTTCTTGACCTAGGAAGCAATGCTTCAGATGCTTTGGCACACAACGAAAAGTGCCCACTCAATGCCAGAATCGATTTTCAGTCAGAGTTTTTGATATGCGCTGTCTTAAGCAGTCCCGGAACTGAGGGAGTCGATTGAGAAAGATTAAGAAAAGTCGCTAAGAGGGAATGCATTTGTTAAAGTCTAGTTTTGCATATAAGCGCCTTTACTTAATTCGGCCATGAAGAGAGGAGAGGCATAAACGATAAAAGCTTTATACAGTTTGATCACAATTGCCAGGGGTAATGAATTTACGAATGCGACGTATGATTGAAACTTTTACGCTCACTTTCCGATGTATTTTTTCTTAATTCTTTGTTATGCTTTTGAAAAGTAAGGGAGTCGATCGTCGATAGTTACTTCGAGAAGCTGAATATGGTTGACATTGTCTAGATGATTACTTGTTACGGCGCTGGCAAAGTTGCTCTGTTGAAGATGACAAATTGAGAATTAGCGATAATTGACGGCTTAAAAGTTCCAGTCTGACTAGTTACCATCAATCTTGACATACTGCTTTCGTCCCTTTAAATGAGATTGTACAATTACTATTACGTTTCAGAGACACCGTACGCCACCAGCGGCTTTGCAAGGAGTGAGATTGTGGTTGATATTTAAATGTCAAAGCGGGCTTTGGAGAGGCCAGTCGATTGTAATCTGAGCTGTAGTCAGCTGTGCAGTGTGTTCTTTAGAGTGTGCTCCTGTTCTGATTTCTACACATCTTTTTAGAAGGAGTGCCTAAAGGTCCTTTCAAGAAACCAGATTGATTGTCAAAAGAAAACTTGTGTGGTAAAGCTTGTTTCCAAGTGCCCTTTCTAAAGCCACATCGGACATCCCGGCCCCTACTTTCACAAGCCCTCCTAAAACGCGAAGTTGAATTAGTCCCGGCAGGGCTCTGTTATAAGCAGCAGTTTCCAGTATTTCTCAAAAGTCCCTTTGGGAAGGAGACAACAAAGTATGTATGAAATCTATGAAAGTATAGTAATCATGGTCTCCCTCGAGCTGCCTCGAAAACATTAGTGAAACTGAGAATAAGCAGTCACAAACTTAGAATTGAGACAGGTAGGTACAACAATATACCACGTGACGAAAGGTTATGCAGTCTCAGAATTGAAGAAGAAATTCACTTTTTATTAGATTGTCCAAAATACATCTTCGATGAGAGAGATGTTCTTCTCTAAACTAGAACCTAAAATGCCGTTTCTACGACTACAATCACATGATACTTTATTATCACATCTAACGAATTCTACTGACTATTTTATTAACTTTCAATTAATTTCATTTATATCATCTTGCTTTGAATTGAGAGACAAACTTGTCTCCGAAATGATTAATCCTACCGATGGTTGAAAATAGGTAATGATTATTATATTTAAAGTTATTTTATAAATTTAAAAAGGAATCAATAATTAAATTCAAGTAGCTTTGCAATACTGTAATGCTTTTTTATAGTCATGCAAATAAAGCTTATTGTTGTTGTTGTTGCCTCGATTTTCGTTGCTACTTGCGGAGGGGGACATGGGGGTTTACGGTTTTGCGGTATTGGGCTTTTTTTCATGCGGTATTTCGGTAATCTTTATTTTAACGCGCGGTATTGCGGTATCATCTCGCTCTGCGGTATGCGGTTTTTCATCATTTCGGCTGACTGTATTCGGTGAAATAAGATTGTTCACGGTATTACGGTACCGTGTATTTGCGCTTTCCTTTCGATACAATACGTAAAACAAAACACAGTTAGAAGTCTTGAGACATAACGGTAAATGATTACACCATTTATGGGTCATTTTGTGACAGTTATTAAATGGTCGATAATATACAATGTGATTGTTGTTGCATCCAATGATAATGAGTCGTCTCAAGTTACCTTACCAGGCTTTTCGATCTGTGTACCTGTGCCGGTAATTCGAGGTCTTACACGTTTTCTCACAATGGCTGAGGTCGCTGAGGTTGAAGACGGCGTGGTCATCATTGACTGTGTGGCAATTTTTTATCAAGAGGGCGAAGAAGGCGAACATTATCGCAACAAGAATAAGTTTAGATGTCGGGTTTCCAGAATTGAAAAACGCCTTGTAAAGTTGAAAGAGAAAATTTGGTAAGTTTGACTCTTACCGTGGCGGCGTGTGAGACAGTCGAGATAGTTCAGTCGAGATAGTTGACCCCTGAGAGACTGACATGCTAGACTAGACTCACTTATCAAAACTCGCACTAGACGTGCGTGGAAAAGGGTTTTGGTTGGTTTGTTTTTCGCGCTTTCAGGAGTTACTTTTATTGGAGTTAATAAGCTGTTGGGTCGACCTGCCTAAAGGTTGAACGAATGTAGTTTACTTTTCAGTGAAAATTTGCGAACTACCAAAATATTAAAGAAATAACATGGACATCTGGTGCATAAATGCCTGAGATAATTAAACGCGCTAGATGGAAGCAACCATAAGTATGCGGAACCGATTATAAATGTGGTTAAAACATGCGGTATCGGTATTTAGACGATTTTCGACGCGGTATTTCGGTATTTGCTATTCTTTTTTACGGTATTGCGGTATTAGGTACCCCCCAATGTCCCCCTCCTTGCGGGAAACAAATATTGTTGTTGTTGACTTTTCAACTGACAAAAGTAACAGGCATTGACTGCAACGGTGTTGCCGGACAATTCGGTGTTAGGGGATGTATTTGCCCTTTTTCTGCTTCCCTACGATGGGGAAAGTAAAAAAATTTAATTACACCTGGTGACATTAGTGATACAGACGTGGCCCTACTGTTTTTACGGCACCGAAGCCAGAGGATCCTCTTTTCGGAATTTTGTCAACGTGCTTTTTCTAGGTCCACTTGTCATCTATAAACTTAGTCAATAACCCGGTATTTTCAACATGTTTGTTTTTTGCCGCACTGTTGGATTTTGATTTGCTGGCGTCATCGATTGAAACCGGTCACGTAACGTGACTATCCAGAGACTGAACAAACCCTGTCAATCAAAATGTGGTTTGGCAAAGGAACCGTAAATCAAGTTTTCACAGTCGGTCAGTGAAATGGAATGGCCTAACTCCCTTCGACACACCTATGCTAGGACCCTGCTAGAGCAGGATATCCTTTCAGAAATCACTTTTATCAACTTGCTTTCTCCAGGTCAATTTTTCATCTATAAAACCAGCAAATAATTTGACATTTTATAAAAAATTATATATTTCTTCCTTAATTTTGATTTCACTCCAAAAGGTCAATGTACAACAATGACGGAACGCGTAGCTAACGTGATTCAGTATCAGTATGCAGATGAAGTACATAATCATGATGCCGCCATAAAAAAGAACGTTTCCAACCTGTGTACAGGAAGGAATATTAGAAAACGGTCAAGCAGCCAATCTCTACTGAAATGTTTTTTAAAACCTCCGGAAAGTTCTTCCCCGTCATTCGAAAGGCCTTTAAAATTTGTCTTTCCCAGGCTAATAAAACAATACCTACTGCAATATTTCAAATAATTATATTCCTAAGTATTCTTTCTTCTTGCCGTAGTTGTACTGAAAAAGCAATTCGAAAATTGGCTACTTATATTTGTCCTTTAGAAGAAAGTGCTTTAGTAGTGAATTTGTGTGTGCGTCCTTTGTTCATTTTTTTCTCAGCTCTATGGACAGTTCTATAAAACGTATTAATGTTGTTATACATCGTTGGTATAGCTAATAGCATTTTTTGGAGTAATATTTGGCATAAATACCACAAGCGATTTTTCGAAATTGTTATACGTAATTTCACGAGCCGTTTGGCGAGTGAAATTTGAGACAATCTTGAAATATCACAAGTGGTATTCATGCCAAATATCACGTAGAAATCATGCTATTATTTGTTTATACTACTACCGGCAAAAGGTATTTCAGATTAAGCTGAAATACCACTGGTCTAAGCCAATCAAACTGCAGAAATTTCTCATGTAGTAGTATAATTACTGAAATGATTTCCATTTACATGGAAAGATTCCAACACGTACTGACTCGTTAAATATGAACGTCAACCAAAGGCACAATATCTGCTGCTAACTTCAAATAAATGCACGGTATATTGTCTAATCAGTTGCTCTGCATTTCCTTAAGAAGGCTCAACAATGGGAGGTGCCTCGCTTGTTAACTAATCAGATGCTAAATTTGCACCTATATTTTTACTATGGACACTCCTTTCGGCTAGAGAACACAGTAGTAAGGCTAAAAAAAGGGTTGTGCTCCATTTCAGGTGTTACGTACAGAAAGAAAATAGACCATAGGCCCGGGGTTTCCGTCCTCTTCTTTTTTCGAATAGAATGTCATGGCTTCTTTTACGTCCTCTTCTAATTGATGTGTTGGGACCGGTGAGGCAAGACCAACGGCTTCACGTCACCGCCCAATTATTTTAGGGTCTGTTTTAATACACGGAAGTGGGGGACCCCAGGATCGGGAAGGTGAGGTAACCTGTTTAGGTGGGGTAACCCGCCTGTCCATATAATCTCTCGTTTTAATTTGATCACGTTTACATGATAGGTGGGGTGACCCGCCAAGACGGGTAGCCCGGTCTTCCAGACAGAGTAACTCTCTCAGCTGGGGTCAAATTTTGCCATGTACCGGTAAACGTTTCAATTTGGAGTAACCCGCCTAGCCGGGGTCGTATTCGTGATACATCAAATTCGCTCAAATTCACTTTGGCGGTGGCTTTTCATCCTTGAAGGTGTCAATAGAAAGCCACATCACTGAAGGTTGCAGCAAGAGCAGCAAGTGAGTGTAGAAGAGAATTAATCGCCAAAACACGTGGTTTGCCAGCATTTTTCTTGTTTACTTGCTTAGCGACCATTCAATAATCTTGAGAAAGTGACACCAGGACGGCAGGGTTGTAGGATTGCATGTAAACGATGGTTATTTTTTTACTCCACCTAAGCGGGTTACTCACCTACCTGGGGTCCCCCACCTCCATGTACATGCTGCTGTGTAAACAGGCCCTTAGAAGCAGGCAGATTGTGAACAACTAGAAGGTTGTAGCATACCCGTGTGTAAAGCCGTCACATTTGCTCATTAGAATTTTTTGTTTCTAATATGCTTAAAAAATAAAAAATTCAAACGGGCAGATGTGACTGATATGCGCGTATGTTGCAAAAGAGAAAAGTAAAAGCAATATAACAGTGCGAACAAAGACATGGACACGAACACAGATACATGAGAGAAAAATGCGGTCTGTTTATTGAACTTGAATTTAATAGACAGTTTCAATTCATTTTACGGATAAGCTGGTTGATCTTGTCCTCACGGTTGCCATGGTCACCCCCCTCCACAAAGTGTGTGGTCATTTTACGGAAGCCACCCTTAGGAGAACTCAGCTTGAATGGCCACAGGAAGTTGTTAGCCTCTTTAAAGTGCTCCCCAACACTGTAGATTTCATGAATCAGATCCTCTACACAAATGATACCATGTTTTCCCAGCTGCTGTTCAATGATGGAATTATCTGTGATGGCAATACGTTGTTTGTTCACTTTACCATAACCACGTTTGTAAACCAGCTCACGCACACTCTTCAGGTTTGGGTACCTGCAAATAAAATTTGCAAATAAAATCAACTTTCAAAATGTATTTAAGCAAAAGTAATTGACAGTCCTCAGTCATGTAGAAGATGTTTGTTCATTCAGTGACTGGAGACAGGCGTCTCGGAATCCGAGTGCTCCCAATAGGAGTCAAACCCATGACCCTCTGGTTACTCGTCCAGATACAGCTCTACCACTAATCTCCGGGAAACTTGTTGAAGCTAATCTTCAGCCAACTGTGTCTCATAATGAGAATCCACCCGAGGTTTTCAAAAGGGTACAAAAGCAATTTCAGCAAAATGTAAACAGCTCAGAGTCAAGGTGGCTTTATACAGAGATATCATTTGCTAGCCCTAGTTTAGTGCAACAAATATTTTTTACAAGATTTATATGTACATTTACACTCAAACTACTGAAAACGAAGCCCTTACTCACCCATAAGCAACATATGGCTGTACAACTCGCAGCATGTTAATGGTGGCTTTATTAAGTTTAATGAAGACACCATTGTGAATTTGCAGCAGACGAAACAGCTGAAGGATCTTCCTCACTTTTGGACTAACTCCATTGATACTAAAGAAAATAAGGGAGTTAATCACATGACTTTAACAATTTACTGTTCTCACCAACTCAGGAATAAGACCTCCAACTTCAATGGTATATCAGACAAGGAGAGGTGGGTGGTGTGGGAGTAACCTGAGATCAGGCATTATTATTATTACTGTTTTTGCTTCTTTGCTTCTTTGGCTCGAGAAGGAAAAAAAAAACGCCTGATACATTCATTTAACAAGCCATCAACCGCCCCCTAATTTACATAATCTAATGCCTGCTTGACCTGTCATGTTATTAGCCAATCAGCATTTACCAGACAGAAATCAAACTTTGGCGGGAATAATGTCTCTTTTGAAATATATTTCAGGAAATTTTTAAGTACGTTCAGATGGCGCTTCCTTAAAAAAAAAAAAAAACTTCTTTTGTGATGAAATACTGCCATATTGTACCTTTATTTGACAGCTACAAATAATAAAGAATTTACTGGTAAAAGCTCGTTGACTTAATGCGTTCTGTGCCAAAAGCAGTGAGAAAAAAAATTAGGCTGAAGCACTATATTTCATGAACTGAAAAGTGTTGTGAAAGCGAAGATCGCTCAGAATAATTTGCAGGTTTCTGAAGAAGGAATTACAGTCAATCCAGGTCAAGATTCCATTCACGAATTGATTATTTGAAATGTGAACCCATTTGTCGCTTCTGTAACTTGTAGCCGGTATCAAATTGCATTCAAATGATCGGTGAATTTTTGACTGCAATTTTTAGTAAACAATGAAATGGAAAATATTTCAATGGATGAAATTTCTATTTACACATTCTTCAAATTCAAGAAAACTGAGCCGGCAGAAATTTCATTATGAACTCGTGTGTGTATTCACTGCTCATTTATACGCACGCAAAAATGCAGACTGAAATCAACAACAACTAATGGATGGCGGCGTTTTGGCCAATCGGAACAGCGCAAATCATCCGTATTGTTTCCTATCCAATCAGGAAAAAGTCCACATTCTGGCTTTTTTGAATGTGATCTGTAAAAGAAATGTATCATGCCCTCTTCCCAAAAACAGATTACAGAGATAAAGGGAGAGGGCATGATTGCAGGCTAGTGGGGGAGGGTCGAGCACATAAGCAAGCAAGCAAGCACTGTTCGAGAGTCAAGCAAGTGTTTTGGAGGACCAGTCATCTAGGCTGCGATGAAATTCTCCATTTCCAGAGGCAAGCAAAGCAAGCATCTTTATTTTGCTGCTTTTACAATACTTGTTCTCCCCCCCCCCAAAAAAAATTCCCTTTTTAGATTGGGAATAGTTTACATTAAGGGGCCCCTGCAAATCAGAGTTAAGGCTCGATGACAACCCTTCAGGGCTCAGATTTAGGGAACCACATGTAACAATTTTTGTTGCGGTAAATGTTTATCTTTTAAAACAGCACCTGTAGTAACTAACTTCCAGATGCAACTAATGAAATTGATGATGGATGACTTCAATGAGTAATAACTGAGTAATCAACTGATTGGTCACTGATTATTTGCTGTAATCAATGGGCAATCAGTGACTAATTGACTGCCAAAAATTTTGTGGCCTATTGATTAGTCATTGAATTATCTAATGATTATCCATTGATTAGTCATTGATCACTCATCTCATACAATTCCTAGCACTTTTTTTCTTAACTTATTTCCGATGATGAAAAATTATGTCAATGGTTCTTGACAATAATAACTGCCAAATAGGAATTGACCTTGCATGTCGAAAACCAATGTATATACATGCTGGCCATGACAAAAACAGAATGGCAAATCAAATTTAATTAGGTAGTAAATGAAATAACAAAAACGAAATGTTCAGAAGTTCGAGTGATCTCTCTTACTCTCTTGGCTATTAGAGTCTATGTCTTGACAAATGCAGCCACTGCAGAATGCCTAACGGGTAAAAGATCATGAATAAAAAAGCTTGTATCATGACATTTATGTCAAAGAAGTCATTGTTTCCTTATTTTCGATTTGGTAAGGTTTGCATACCCACGAGATTATATTGATAATTAATCATGGACTGAAAATTTTGTGCCCTACCAATTATTCATCGATTACTCATTGAATATCAGATAATTATAATCAATGACTAATCATCTGATTACCTGTTGATTACCTGTTGATCATGATTACTCATTTATTTCATTGATGTCATCCATTAGTTATGTCTGGCAACTTCTACTTTCATTTTCCCCTCTCTTATAAAAAAACTTCCCATTTGATAAGACTTATCAATGGGGAGTTTTTTTTATTTTTATTAATTAGTCCCTGTGTTAAAAAGAAATGCCCCATCTTTTTATTGAGCTTCCTCTGTCACTTCCCCCTTCTACTAGGCTTTACCATGGTTAATTTCTGTAATTTCTGTAGAAAATAACAAGCACTCTCGTAAGTCCTTACCTTTACACCCAACATTTGGTCTGGTTGGTTGATTATGTGATGAAAAATAAAAGTGCCACTATATTGATTTGAAGACTAATTGGTGAACATCTGCAAGTGTCCTTTCAAAAATAATCAAAATGCTTACCCTCTGATGCGAATGACGAAGGCAAGCTTGGCTTCAGCAGGGACATAAAAGTTGGCATGTTTCCTAGCCATACGTTTCATCCGGATCTCATCTCTCTCTTGCTGGCGGTATTCCTTCACATACCTTTCCGCCCTTTTGAAAATTTCTTTGCGTTTTTCTCTTCGTATCTTTCAAAAGATAAAGAGAAGTGTTAACCTCCAAAATAATTATCAATCAATCAACTGCAACTATCAGAAAGCTAATACGTTCCCTACAGAGAAGGAGTATTTTGAATACTTTTTTAATGATAGTACTCCACTACTATACGCATTTTGGTTGTACACTGGAATGAAAATATAGCAGCCCAGTTGAAGCAAAATTCCACCATAAAAATTCCAGTGAATGTAAACTTGTTTATTACAATGGCTGAATCTGCGACTGGGCAAGATGAAGCAAATCCTGTGTTTTGATAGGCACCCCCATCTACTCAGGATTTCCTGCACTGGTCTGTCATATAATAAATCCCTTATAGATCCCTTACGTGTTTGGTTCATAATGGCTGGATATTGGCCTTGTTTTTTTTTATGCATTTTTATCAAACTCGACTTTGTCTCAGTAACTAAAAATGCAAAAAAAAGAACTTGGCTAATACCCAGTCATCATGACCTCAAACTTAGTCAATAGGTAGGTAGGTGGGTACATTGTAGGTAAAGGCGCACACAAGCCAAAGGCACAAACAGAAGAAGCTTATGCTGGATTCCCCCCTCCCCTGGACAGGATGCTTGTCCATTGCAGGATATCTTCTTGCTTGTACACGAGTATACACTGTCTGTTTGCATTTGGAGTAGCCTCCCACGCAGACATTCTTAGGGGTTTGTCACGTGTTCCTGCCCCACGAACGTCTGCTGAACTGAAAGATAAATTCTTTTCCCATTGTTCGCAAATATCAGCTGGAGATCACATGCAGATTATCGGAGAACCAATCGGTGCTGTTGAAGTCAAAGTGTTGACAAGCCAAACACATACGTACAAGCTCTGATACGTGACCAAATATTTTTGCTTCGGACGAGAATCTAGGAGATAAGCGTTGGGTTTTTGAATATTTCTCTCTGTAAAGGCTGGATTAGATGTCATTTGCTCATAAAGTTGTTCATTGGGTGATGCAACAGCAGGGTTACCTTGTAAGACTGAACAAAAGGCAGGATTTTTTTTCCTCATGTTATTGTTTTGTAGTAAAGCCGACTTCCGTTCAGCAAATTTAACCTCCGAGGTAATTTTTTTCAGTGAGATTGTGAGGGTAGCCACTAATACGAACGCTTGTGAGTTAACTGAGTAGTTTGTTCTAAAACTGTGAGGTCTTCACCTTTCATGAGACCTTTCTGATCTTTTCTGGAGCTATAAAATCAAGCGTGCAATTTCTCAAGGTCCAAAGTGCACTTCCCAGATCTGGAAGTCTGCTGTGATTGGTCTATGTTTTTTCCCGCTCAAGTCAGCAGACATTTGTGGGGTAGGAACGCGTGACGAACCCCTTAGAACGTCTGCGTGGGAGGCTACATTTGGAGCAGGTATTTGAAACTGTCCTTGAGGAAATGCAGCTTAATACAGATGCCCTCGAAGAAACATTCGCTTTACAACTTGAATTGATATTGTTTCAAGCATATAATCGTCTGAGTGAATAAACCATGCCTTGTTGTGTTACAGCTGTATGTCTATGTAACATTATCCAGAAATCAGCCAGGGGTGATTCTTTGATTCTTTTGTTTTCTGTTTTGCAAGACTCGATCCTCAAATCAACTCTCCATAGCTTGTTCTCAATTTGAGAAAAACCTTGAGTTTGAGTTGAAATATAAGCGCTTATAAGGAACTTCACAACGTGACAATCCTTATCAGAAGTCAAACCTCATCGGCACGTGCTTTCATAAACAAAATTTTTCTAATGATGACCAAATTCACATAGATGACATTGCAGTCATAGGTAGCAAGACAGAGCGTTCGAACTTGTGTTCGAAAAAAAAAAACAGCAACAACAGTTCCTGAGCTACTCCTTTGCATTACCAAAATCAGCAAGGCATGTGCTCGAAAACAACATTCACCGGTATATAAAATTTTATTGCCTTTCATAGAAGCAAAACTGAAAGGTGAGTTGAGAATCAAGGGTCTAATCGTAAGTTTTGGTGCTTTTAGTAACATTTTATTTCACAACGCCATAAACATTAGTTTTGGTGACAAGGGCATTAAGGCAAATTCTTCCACATGTTGTCTCGCCGACGCTGTTGTGTTGAAAAGGTCAACAGGATATCGAATTTCAATCGCCTTTCATAACATTAAAAACTGAAAGATGAATTGAGAGTCAAGGGTCTGAATCAAAATTTCTGGTGTGTTTCAGTAACATTTTCTTTCACTATGCCATCAACATCATTTATCTATTAGTCTAGGTGGCAAGCACATGATGGCAAACTCTTTCCCAGTAATAATCGCCATCAGTGGGCAAGGCATACACGTTCATTCCCTTGTACCCAAATTTATTTCATGTTGATTTTGTCACGGTTAAAAGGTTAAGTCTCTGTGTTTTTTCAGCATTGTGAATCAGACAGACATTGGTGAAACTTGATCCTTGTGAAGAACTTTGACTGTATTTACCAAAGTTGATATGTTGTGAGATGTAGTTCTTTGTCTGCCCAAAGCATGGTGATGAGAATTATACAAGAATGAGCCTCTGGAAGAATAATTTACTTCTTTGATTTGTATTATTGCGGCCATTTTGATAAGATCATTTCGGAATCAATCGACATCGGAAACATTCGGAAGGCCTTCGGGTGATTTTTGGAGAGTATTCAGCCATTGCCAGAAATTACATTCGCAGTGCTCTAAACCGGTCAAGAACAGGAAAAAAACCCCTTTTCTAATTTATTCGTCCAGATTTCTGGATGGATTTGTACGGTTGTTGGCAGAGGCTACTTTTTGCATGCAGCTCACACAGCCTCTGCTCGCAGGGTAGTCAGATATGCGACTTGTATTCTTTTGGTGTATGAACCTAGAATTGCAATTACACATTAAAGTAGGATGCCGAGCGATTTTACAAAAGAAACCCTGCACATCACTAAATTTAGCTCGATTTATCACGGCTGAAGTCCCTCATGAAAAGTTCCTTATAGTGAGCGACTATCGAGCTTAGTTCTGGCCTGCACTGTACTTTTGAACGGCAATGTGCTTGTTTTGAAATATTATGTGCAACATAAGGTCATACAATAGAGGTCACCTCTAAATTGTTTTAGAAAAGTCAGAATTCCACCAACCTTTTTCTGTTGTAACTGCGCCTTAGCCCTAGCGGCTTTGAGTTGTTCTAAGCTCTTCCTCTTTTTGAGGAGAGTCTCGGGGACACGTGGGACCTTCTCTCTGTTGAAAAAAATAACAGGATGATATATATAGCCCTTATTAAGAGCATAACTGTACACGAAAATTTGAAGTTATTATATGGCACACAAAGTCACATTAAACTCAAGGTGCGGAAAAAAGGTTAGTCTCACGACACTTCAAGTCTGACACAAATTACGATAAGATGATACATGGCATGTAAACTCTTGAAAAAATACCATTTTCATCACTTTAATAGAGAAAATAACCATATCAACCTTGTGATTAATACTATCAAATAACTATTTTGACACAACTACGACCTTATAACACGACCAAAGTCACGGATGGAAAGGATTACTTTTACCAATTACGATTTTCACTAACCTATCGGCCATTATTTCCCCAGGAAAGAGGACAGGAATGGTGGGAAATGATTGCTTAGTGACCGAGCCCCGATAAATTCTGCGCTATGTAAATGTCACATAGTTTCCTTTACTAGGAACCCAGACTCCTCGCAGTCTTGATGATCATCTCATGGTAGCCTGAATTTCATCTGATTGCTTCGAGTCATTTTCTCCTCTCGGGATTCCTCTCGGGAAGTAATAACGATTCGAAGTAATCGGATGAAATTCAGGCTAATTCAAACTATGCATACAACAATCTCTTACAACCGAAACATGCGTGTACAATAACTTTATAGGGCTACATTTGTTTCATGTGTGGAGATCTGAAAAAAAAGACTAACACAGGCATGTGAATTTCAGGCTCTTAAAATGCACTGTGATAAAAAGTGAAAATTACCACCTCTAATCAAATCTTTTCTTGCAAGTTTTTAAAAAATTATTGAAACTGAGCCTGAGTGTTTTGATCTAACTCGACCTGACTGAGTGCATGGAATTTTGCGAGATACAAGGTGGAAAGGGGATTTTAATTATAAAGTTACAGCAAACCTTTTTTTAACTCAAGAAATATCGAGTGTTGAGTGCGAAGAGTTGAACAACAGATTTCTTTCATTTGTTAGGCGCTATAGGTAGATAAAAAACCTGACGTAAATTGTTCTCGCAAAATTCGAGAAAACAAGAATATCGGTCTCAAAATGACTTTATTGTAACCCAAAAATTCACGCCCTAACATCAACTTGTTTCGCGCTCGCGAACAAAGTCACACTGAGAAATTTGGACACTTTTTTTCAACAGAATAAAGCTTTTTCTGTCAACAGGAAATTATTTCAAGACTCATCCAACTGATTTCTCCGTGCGGGAATTCGCATGCACACATGAACCATTTCTGAGCTCATAAAGCCGGGTTAGGGAGACTGACACGAATAGAGGTGCATATACTGTATAATGTCGTCTTCTAGACAGCAGCTAATCGGTGAGTTCATCGTTCAAAAGTTACAGCGATGAGTTAGTTATCTTGATTAAATGTCTATAATCTACCAACGAAATCTGAAATTATCAGGATTCCTCCCGCAAGTTAGTTTTAGAAAGTTTGACCTTACTTCTTTGGGGCAGAGAGAACTTCACACACTTAATCTTACACTAGCATTTTGCACACAAATTCTAGAAAGTCATACAGAGTTTAATTACAGATCTGGTTAAAAATATTTTTACAAAAAGGGAAAAAGGCATCGTACCTAATGAGACATAAAGAAATGAAACGCAACATTGATTAACAAAATTTAGTTTTACAACTTAAAAAGTACAATTTTTCATTAAATTAGATATCCTTCTTGAGTGGAGATTCTTCTTCGTCTGCTCGCAAAACACAGTGGCGAGGAAACCAACCTTTTTCTTCAGGAAGCTGTGTTCCACTTGCAAACTCTAAAAACAGGAATTAAATTTTTCAATCTACCTTGCAAGGAACTGAAACCAAATACAAGTTAACAGGCTCTGAACATGGACTGTTACATCAATATTCACTGCCGCGGCGTAAAATAGCTACAATTTAAGCTCCTCAGCCCGGAATAACACTCAAAACTGTAGTCCACTACACAGCCGTTTTTAGTGTCGTCACGCAACGCTCCTATCAAAACTGCAGACGCTTATAATACCACTTTAATGAAAAGAGTGAAAAATCAAACGGATCGATGCACAAGCAAACGTGCACAAGTTTGGAAACGACCTATAAGTTAACATCCGTACCACCACCACCAATGCATGTTATATGTAGCATTCATTCAATATAAAAAACTAAATTATGTTGTACATTACATACTTACATACATTAATGAACTTTATTTACACTCTAATTTCAGAGTAGCCTGAAAAGCTAATATCTTCGTGAAAATAAATAGTATAAAAGAGGGAAAAAATTAAATAAATAAAAAGAAAAATCTATTCACATTTGATTGCGTTACATACATGAAAAATGTTAAAACACTATTATGTCTGAAAGTAGATTAATTTCAGGAGAACTGCTGATTTCCAAAACTTCGGAATTCCTAGGTCATACGCTGGCGCTTCAAAAAGTATTTGCAGTTAATTACTATAATTTGTAGGGTGCTTCAAGTTCCTAGACTTTACTGTCTTGAAATTTGAAGTTAAATGACCAAAATTAGTTGTATCGCACAATTTTAGTTCTGAAGCCTCCCAACAGATAGAAACTGAACGTTGAAACGGCTTTTCTTCAAGATGAAAAATATGTTATTTTTGTTCCAATATAATGATCAGCTTGTGAAATTAACTCCAATTAGTACTATCTGGCAAATAAAAGCTCGTTAATCCAAAAAAGTTACTTTTAAATATATGTCTTGACAATCTTACCAGGAACTGAATTTAACTTCTCGCCGTAAAGCCAATACCTAAGGAGGATTAAACAGCGGTCATGGGCCGAGTATTTTACAGCTCAATATAGCGCGGATGCGGATTACATGTAATTGAAACGATTCTAGAAAAAAAGATAATAGCGATCACATAAAAACCACACTTATGCGAACACAGCAGCCATTGCGACAACGATTTTTGTTATAAACTTTAGTCTATCACAACGCTGCATTTCTTACGCCGTACGGTCGCTGCCATTATTTTGCAACAATTGATGGACTTTTATCATAAACACCGAAGCATCATTGCTATAGACTTTATTAACTTTCCGACTTGCCCCTTTGCAAAACCCTTTGCAGCACGCACATATCGTTTTTGTTTCTCCCCGGTGCCCAAATATATCAGCAGAAATTCATCAGAGTTGATAAAACGAAATTTTTGTGCCCCCATTTCTCCCTCAACTGATGTCATGTGGGACAAAAGTGGTTGATCATAGTTTGTTCTAAAGTAACCCCTCATTGTAAGTATCGTGTTTGCTTTAATTCCTGATCTCATTTTCAGCAAGCGCTCTTGGAATATTTGTCCGCCAGATTTGGTTGATACAAATTCGAAAAACATGTAATTTCCCTGGGAGCAGAGCCCCTATCGATCTTCCCAGATATTAAAATCGGGAAGTGATCCTTTCCTCTTCCCAACTTATTTGGGAAGATCGAAGGGCCTCTGTTGTCAGGGTCAGTAACATGTAATATGTGAGAAAAGGGAGTTCCTTCTTTTTCCCATTCCCTTCTAGAAAGTAAAGAGGGGAAAATATTTTGTTTTCAAAAGCCCATTTAAAAAAAACAATCAATCAATCAATCAATCAATCCCTTTTGCGCTTGCTGGATGTGAGAAGACAGATATATCCACCGAGTCACAGTTCAACGCGCAAGGTCATTTATATTAGAATTCATCGATATGAAACATACTTCCTCACACGAGACACTAAAACTATTTCTCCAGCTTGTAGTTTCATTCGCGGTTCGTCTGACCACGGTGTACAAAGACAAGTTCTGAGACCCTCCCTCCACGCAATCAATTTTCCATTGTAGGATTTAACTACAGTACAACAAATCTTAAAAAGATAAAAACAAAGAAGATCAGAAACTGTTAGTCTTGCATTCGAAGTATTGCGTCCCCTGGTTGTGATCAGTCTCTACTTTCGTGCCTGTTGCAGTCATTTATTTTTGCTTTGTTTTTATTTGGTTGGCAGCAACAGTTTATTTTTGAAGCTTTTCCCTAAACTCAGCCGAAAAAACAAAGTCAAAATACTGGTGAACAAGTTATTTTTATATTTTGGAAAAATAGCCCAACCATTTTAAATGAAAATACGGAAGTGATTTAAGAACACTTACTTTTCTTATCCTTTTCAACTTTTTCTGTTGTAATTGTTCTCGCTGATGAAGAAAAAGAAAAAAACTATTGTACTATCAAGCACGTGACACAACACTGCTGAACGAAGCTTTGAGGCTATTTAATTACTGTGTCTGAAAACATTATGAAGCGGAAAAAAGGCAATAAAGGTTGCATTAGCACGTGACAAAGAAAGCCTACATACTGTTAATGTGTACTGATCACATCCTTCAATTACTGGCCAGGTTATTCCATCCCCAACATAATCATGGCATAAAGATATCACCTGTTGTAAAGACAAGTTACTAACATGTACTGCGGAAAAATGACAAAAACGTTTTAAACATGGTGCTAATGGTATCTGGGTTCTAGTCTAAGGCTAGAATTTGACATCAAAAGATCGATTTTCCGCTCATTGTTAACAAACCAAACTGAATTTATTCACACACATTTTCACATACATATGGTACAGTTCCACATGCACATAGTAAAGTGTAACTGAGGCTGGCATAGATTCCTGGTCTACAGAGGTCGTTGATTTACAAACATCAATAAACAACAATTAAGGTTATAGGGCAACTTTTACAAACTACAGAAAAGAGTTACAGGAAATATAAAGTTAAATACTAAACACTTAATGACTGGTCCGACGGGAAACAGTTAATGTCAAGGTGAGAGAAACATTGAGATTTGATTGACACAAAATTAATTGTTTCCCAAGGGACCAGTCTCTAAGTGATTTGTTACACAGCCCAGGAAGAAAAGCTTTTTCAAGCAGTCAACATTTGCAAATAACAGTGCACTGTTACCCTCTGACCTCATAGATTTCGCAATGTTGCTCGCTCAGAGATTTTGATGCAAAACAGTTTCATTGTTAGATCTCATATCACCTCTAAGTAACCAATGAGAGCGCACACTGTTGGAAAACAATTTCCAGCTGTAATTAACAAATGATTATGTTAATTAAACAAATATGTGTATTGAAGCAAGAAGGTGGACTGGAATAACCAGATAATAAGCAATCATTGTATTTGCATAGTTTGCCACCTTCTGTTGTTCATCCTCATTCTCTAAGATCAAAAATTCCATGTTTTTTATTTTTTCTTTAAAGGCTTGTCTAAAAAATTCTTCAAGGATGGAGTGTTAAAGTAAAGCTGTAAATCTAGAAAAAGACCCTAGACTTTGATCCAGCCTTGAGCTTCTCATAAAACCTTGGGTAGGAGAATTAATAAACTGGTCTGGAAGTACATTGTTCAGCTGTCTGGCATCATACATTCAGATTAACAGTATGTGGTTGTTTAGACAGCATAAATGTACAGAAAAACAACCTATAAAACTTTTAATTAGGTAATAAATGAAAGTAAGTAAAGATACCTGTTTGACATTTTCTCTCCATCCAAGATCATAAGGGTAAAGAAATATGTCTCCTTCAGTGCGAGGTCGGTCAGCCTGTTTGTTGAGGAAAAATTGCTCTCATTACTAACACAACCAGCTGTCTGTTAGAAACAATTAAAATAAAGGCCCACAAGAATATAAAAATGCAAAATGACTAAAAATTAAACATTATTTGGCCTATTTGCTCATCAAGTTTCAGAAAGAGTGGTGTATGGTGGCAAATAGTTATGTCAAATTTCAATAATAATTTACATCATCTTATTTAACACTTTTTGTAGTCTATATGAACAGCTTTTCTTCTGTGAACCTTTTCCACTATCCAAGCTTCTATTGCTGTCTTGTTTGTTATTATTCCTTTTATCTGCAGAAACAAACCAAATAATTACCACAAAAGGTGAACAAAGTTTTATACTTTAGGAAATACTGCAATTAAAGGATTATAGGAACAAAGAGATCACTGTTGAGACAGCATTCATGTTTTTCAATGACAACACAATCTTTTGCATTTTCACGGGTAATCCCTAATTTGCAATACATGTTTTGACGAGTGTTACATGTTTTGATACATTCTTTTGTATACTGGTGTTCAGGTGAAGGATTTTGCCTAAATTTTACATTGGTGAGTCCAATGAGCTCACCTTAATCCCAGCTGAAGTACATGTAGACTGTAAATGGAGCAATTTAACTATGGGATAAAGAGCTATAAAGTAAGCCAGCTCCTTTAGCTTGTTTGCTTCCACTGCTCAGCCAAACGCATGAAACAAGCCACCAAGTAGAGACCTGAAGCTATCAAAATGTTGCTCTTTTTCTCTTTGTCCATAGATCATAATATAAATTTATAGACCTTAGACATGTTGTGCACCCTATGTCTTTTAAGTTCTTTAACCGCCAACTTGCCAGATGTCCAATATGCATAGCTTTAAAAAGCTGCCTTGTATACTAGTGGTTCCTGTTTAGTCTAGTTTATAGCTTGTAGTAATTTAACATTGCTGACCTGATAGTAGAGAAGGAGGCCAACAGCTATTGTAACACCCACTGACAAACCAATGCAAAAGAGTACAGCTATAAGATGATAGAATCTAAATGGAACTACAGCATTCCTCTGAAACACAACACGTTGATAAAGGCCACCAGACAACTGTGGATACAGAGGTTACTGAGTTAGAATATAATTTTGATAAAGACATAATACTTAATTCAGGTTTAAAATTGATTGCTATACAATTAGAGTATCAGTCAGGGGGAAGCTGTCATATAGAAAGTACAGTGGAGGATAAAGGGGAGGGGCCCGGGGAGCCCAGGTCCCCCCTTTATTTTTAGACCAAACTGAGGCCCGAAGGGATGAACATTGTCTTTTTTGGAGACCGCCCCCATCTCATCTCAGGGTCTGGATGACTGCCCCCCCCTGCCTTATCTGAAGATCTGGATCGGGCACTCAAGTATATGGCCTTCTGGTTGAACTGGGTAAGAGGGGGGTAAGAGGACATTTCAACCTCTATCCAATGTGGAACAGGTACTACAATAGGTGCTCAAATCAAATGACCTACATTCCAAGAAAAACTTTCCCCAGTCCATTGCAACCATTATTTATATACAGGTAAGTAGCTTACAAGTGGAGTTGAACCTTAGTCAAAAGACTTCATCATCTATGCACCTTCTATTGATGGAAGTTTTTTCAAGCAGTTTAGTTTGGGATAGGGTTCAAGCAAGTTGGAAGATTTTGGTCTGTAACAAGCTATTATAAGTGAAAATTTTGATCTGTGGAATTCAGAATTAAATATTAATATTAAATTTTGTATGTAAAAAGATAGAGATATTTGGGGCCCAATCTAGAATTGGTTTGCAATGCATGAGCTTAACATTGTTTGGTATAGGGTGCAGCACAGACCTACTCAATAATTCATAGAGCACCCCTGCCCTAGAATAATAAAGAATAGAGAATAGAATAGAGCAGACTTTGATATTTTATCTGTTTAGTGCACACGGAAGCAGTATGCATTTATAGGTCAACTACATTGTCCAGGTACATAGGGTAGTAAGAAAATAGATGGCCTATAGATGAACAACCACAACTTCCATTTACTTAATTATGTTGCCTAATGTTTGTCTATATTAGCCAGGTCAGTAAGTGTGATAATAAAGTTAAAAATTATATTTGACAGACAGGTAAATAATACTGTAAAGCGCCACTGTTGTGGACTCATACATCTTCATAAGAGGTTTTAGGAGGGCTTTTAAATGGAGGGGCTTATATCCAGGGGACTTATAATCAGATTTATTATTTTCTTCACAGGTATAGATGGGCCTAAAATTGGGGGGCGCAGTTTACAGTCGGTACATGTATATGAAGAAAAACAGCAATTTATTGACAAGTACTCACCAAATAAAATTGTTGAACAACACAACAAATTAAAATAACAGTGGTGTGAGTACATCCAAGAGGAACAAAAAATAAAAACAATGTAAAGGATCTGTGGTTTAAGTGACCCACACAATTATTAATCCATGGGCAATGGTGATCCATTTTCATGACACATCTATCAGAGGAAAAATAATACATTGGGTTATTCTTCATAGCAATCCATTCAAGAGTATATTACTGAATGAGATAAACAAGATAGAAAAGTCCAAAATGCATAATTTAACTTGAACAGAGCAGAGTTCAACCCTAAATGCATGTAAGTTATTTCATAGAGAAACACATGCACATGTGTATCAGATGTAATGGTGTGTATATAACCTGCAGTTGACTGTAGGATGTGAGTTGACCTCAGGTAAGAAATGTGAGTACAGAAAATAAACATTTGTCTTGAAATATCATCTTGGTGAACAAACATGCTTTCTTGGAGAACTACAAAATAATGAGGTAAATTTTCTTGAAAATTAATATTCACTTTTTTCTGAAAGACTTTTTTATTGTCTGAGGTTAAAATGTCTGCCTTGCCTCATGAATTCTCTCCTAGCTTCCGGCAAAATTAAAGAACAGCTCCCAGAAAAATCTGTTGGGTGACTATCAACCAATAGTCAGCCGACAAACGACCAACAGTTGGCCACCAAATGGTGAACTGTTGGTCGAGAGTCGGTAAACTGTTGGTCTGCAGTCTACCAACAGATGGCTGGCAGATTTTTTGGGGAGCTGTTCTTCAATTTTACCAATCTTCCACCCTTTTCCTTCCATATTAGCAGGCTTCCCCTTGACAACCTTACATAGAATTTGTGAAGTAAAAGAATCATTCAATACCGTCCACACTTGCTGCAATGATGAACTCTTGGTGCTTTATAACCATTACACACATGACATATCTGCAGAACATCTCCTAATTTGTCACCATCCTATAAAACAGTGTATAGAGAAATGCTTTTTGAACAAAAAATAATTTTATGCATATTTGTTGACATAACTTTAGTTCTTGGTTACTGAAAATATGAAATATCAAAGAAATATTTACTGCAGTGGATGGTAACTTGCAAAGCAAGACCACTTTTTCTGATATGAAGATTGATAACTTTGCTATTAATGTAAATCTAGACCACAGCGAGGTTAGGGTCGGGGGTCTGGCAACTAGCCACACCTTTTAGAGTTACATGCCAATGACTATACCTACAACATGTAGCCTTATATGCCAAAGTACAATCAGCTGGACATTCGTACTCAACCTGCTCCAATAAGTACTCTTACACACAACCAACAGCCATTAGGGATTATTACTACAAGTATTCCTTCTACCCAAGGACAATATTACAGAATGGAATCAACTCCCAAGGGAAACAGCATTGTCCAATTCACTGGCTGCTTTTAAAAATGTAATTTCAAACATTTATTAACACTTCATTACTTTGTGCTTAAAAGCGCCATTTCAGACACTTTTGTTTTCCTTTTTAGAGTGGTCTATAATGCGCAGCATTAAGCGGCAGACCTAATTGGTATAATAAATAAATAAATAAATAAATAAATAAATAAAGACTTTTAGTATCCAATCAAAATACTACAAGCATAGCAGTTTTCACTTTAGCCAAGCTACGGCTTTTACCGTACATCTTAAAAGAACTAGCAATTTCTGCTCGCCCGCCCGCCCGCCCGCCCACTTCCTAGGCAGTCTCGTGCATCTTGACTGCTGTTTAGTGTATGTTTATTTTTCCATTTCTGATTAGTATTATCAGTTTGTTTTGTACCATTTATTTCCTATTAGACTTCAGTCAGTGCTGTATGTATTAGTTACTACCTGTATGCTTGTAACAAAGACTCAGCCAGAAACCAATTCAGTGTCTGAGTGGTGGTTTAGACAACTGTTGCGTGCTTGACGTACAGTGTATCCTTCAGGGAAAAATGAAACTGTAGAGATACATAAACTGCAAAACACACCTGCATTCTCCATTTGAGTGGTAGGTATCCAGGTCCAAGCCAGATTGATTTAAGAAAGTAATTCATTATCAGAAACAACCAAGTGATAAAAACCGCGAAATGAATGCCGCCTGCTAGTGAAGTCCACGGTGGCAACCACAACATCGTACAATAAAGTCCGCAAAGGAATAGGGTGATTATTATAGACAAAGCAAGAAGCGGTCCCCAGTGACACAGTCTTCCAACCATTTTTACAAAATATTCATGAGAAAAGAGCTTTAAAATTCGTTATATCCCTGCGGAATGAGAGGTAGGCGAGGTAAGCACAAATGCGGAAAATACGGAACAGCCAAAATTGCAAGGCGCAATCGGCCTTCACACTCATTCCCAATTTCCCTCGGCGGTCTCCAACATCCAACATGGCGGACAGTGTGACAACTGCAGTTGCTTCTCAAGTGCCATTTTACGACTTTTGCTCGTTATTGGAAAAAATATCAGGTACATCGGGCACTGAAAAGAAAAAGAAGATTTTAACAACGTTTCTAAATTCATGGAGGGAAGCCCATGGGAAACTCCATGGTTCATCAAAAACAGTTGAGTACTTTTTATGTAGTGACCCCTGAACATAACTGCCGGGAGGGGCTGGGTTGAACTGTCACTGTCCTCATGTAGCCCCATTCCTATTCTGGTTTATTCTGTGGCCAATTTGTAGACAGTATCAGCTATGGGTCCCTTGCACAAGATGCCTATACAGAGTCACATGGTACAAAAAAGACCTTGCTGGAGGGTGAACAATGCAGTGCACCTTAAAAAGAAAAAGGTTTTTGAAAGATGTAATCTCTTTTTTTTTTCCCCCACTGCATTGTTTGCCATACACCAAGGGACTGGTCATTTTTTATGTGGGGGGGGGGGGGTTTTTTTTGTTTTAACATGAAAGAAAAAAGGGAACAAGCCCTTTAAACCCCTTTAGTAATTTTTTACCCACCCCCCCAATAATTTACATAAAGAGGTAACCACCCCCAACCCCCCTCCATCCATTCCCTTATTAAGGATAGAGGCTTATGTATGGGGTCCATGCACAAAAAGTCATATACAGGTTAAAAGGTTAAAAAAAAGCCTTGGTGGGGGGGGAAAAAGTTAATTTACCTTAAAAAAAAAAAAGTTTTTGAAAGATTTAATTCCTTTTTTTTTTCCCCCCCCTTATTTTTTTCCAAAAACTAAGGGGACGGGCATTTTTTTTGGGGGGGGGGGGGGATTTTTTTGTTTTAACATGAAAGAAAAAACGTGACCAAGCCCTTTAAGCCCATTAGTTAATTCTTGACCCACCCCCACATAACTTTACATAAGAGGTGACCCACCCCCAACCCCCTTCAATCTATACCTCTATAAGGAGTTCCTGTTCACTGAACGAAATCAGCATATCTTGTGGACCAGTGTCCTACTCATCCTCAGAGACCCAGGGGCAGATAGTGGGGACAAGGAAAGTCTAAACAGGCGGAAAAATGTGGCGCGAAGAAAAGTAAAGAACGGCGAGAAGAGCCCCTGGGGACAATGTCTTACCAGACCAGTTCCAAACGGTCACCGCCATTCTGACTTCTGATTGGTACCAGAAAACTTGTGTTTTTCCATGTACTGAGCTGACATTTTCTGCAGCGTGCAAGAAAGCTATGTAGTGTATTTAAATAATTTGTCAAGTAGTACTTATTACCGAGGTTCAAGAAGTAAAAAGGCCATTACTGTGTACCAAAATCTGGTGTTGTTTCTTTGAGTAAGTGGAAAAGCATTGGGTACCAAACCTTACCTAACCCTAACCCTAACCCTAACCCTAACCCTAAATGAATGCTTAACCCTAATCAGTAAAATGAGTGCTTAATCTTAATCACTTAATTCACTACTTAAGGATTACATAGAATAAACTCCCCTTGAGTAAAATAAAAAAGTGACGTATTTGAAAAAATTAAACTGGTATAAAAAAATAAAACCAGTTTAAAAATTTTGAACCAGTTGTGTTATATTTTATGTCAAGCATTGCATTAGAATTTATTTAGATCTTCCACATGAATTGTAGTGAGTGTGATTCTTTACAAAACACACAATGACCCACCCCCAATCATCGTGAAATTCTCTTTTGGCCCACCCCATGATTTTCCCCCCAACCCCCCACATAAATAATGACCGGTCCCTAAGGTGTTTTTGTCCCATGTGACTGGTGCAAAGGGACCATTATGTAGCTGCGACATGCATAGCAACATAGCAACTTTGTCAAAATCAGTGCGATAGAGTCCTCGACCATACCCCTAACAGTACACCATCTATGCCACCCATTTCAGTTACAACTACTGGTATCGCTAAGCTATTAGATAACCTAAACCCACACAAGGCCACTGGGCCTGATTGCCTTTCTCCCATGGTCCTCCAGGAGCTCTGCTCATTAATAGCACCAGCCCTTCAGAAGATCTTCAGTAAGTCCCTATCATCTCACCAAGTACCAGAGGCCTGGAAAAAGGCCTTGGTAACATCCATCTTTAAGAAAGGCGATAAGGACACAGTCTGTCAAACTAAAGGGTGTTACGAAAACTAAGACCCTCAAAAACTAAGACCTTAGACCTAAGAACCGTCTTAGTTTTCTAGATTACAAAAACTAAGACCCCCTAAAATTGAATCTGTCAAGATATGAAGTCAAAATGTAACCGAAATAGGTCTAGTCTGTCAAATTATCTTCTAATCGATTCTTTCCACCGAGTTTTAGGTTAAATTTAACATTAAAATTAGGGGTCTTAGCTTTTGTAAAACGAAAACAAAGACCCCTCTTAGTTTTCTTTAAGACCCCCTACAAAGCCAATCTGTAAAATATATATGAAGTCGAACTACGACTGTTCAAAGACTATAATCCGTAAAACAACCAAAAACTATCATCTGCATATTTGGAGGCAATTCCGAGTATTGAGGCTTCAAAAAGAGGATGAAAGACCATAGAGTACCTGTGCATAATTGTACACTGAAAATATGCCTTACCCTGCCGATTGCTCTGACTATAATTTTGGTTGTTTATCCTTAAAAATCGTAAACTTGGCTTTCCACGTGCTGGAGATGGATTTCTCCCTTTGTGTCTCTGCGACTGTGATTGGCACGTTACCTAAAAATCACCCAAGGGTTGTTTTGTCTTGATTGTTTGTTTATTTGTCTAGTTTTAACCTTCTTAACATACAAGTAGCATACGTAGAAGTTGTGCATAGCCAAGTAATTTCCTAGGTTAATGTTCAATATATAGTTCTGTTCCTTTCTCTCTTACTTAACTTTTATTTTACTTTATTTCACTTGTTGTTATACTGATTGTTTTGGCACTGCCCGGGGTACTGAAATCTTCATGTCGAAGATAAAGTCGTCTTTATTTAATTTTTTCTGAAATTAAAACGCAAAATTTTCGAGATGATGCCTTGCTAGTACAAGAAATTCATTCATTCATTCATTTTTTATTTAAAAGTGATTGTAACCAGTATCCTTCACAGACTATTTCTCCTTGCCTCTACCCTACCCCTCAACTACCCTTACATTGTAACTTTTCACCTGGTTTCCGGTGATCTTCGGGGTGGCAACAATAGAAATAAACTCTTGAAAATGCAATGTAGTATGTACTCTTTTATTCGCCCTTTTTGAGAAAGCATTTTTCTGGCTATGGCCTGAACAGAAAAGGAAAAAACCTGTACTTTTGTGTGATGTTTAACCGATAACGCTGTTGAACACTTGATGATCAGAAGCAATTAAGGGTATTTTCCGGTAACACCATCAGGTCACAGCAACATGTCAGCCGGCAACAAAGGCAAGAACCCATCTCCAGTGGAATGCCGATTTTACAATTTTTAAGGAAAAAACATTAATAGACCAATTGGTGGGGTAAGGCATATTTTCAGTGTACAATTATACATAGGCCATGGCTTTCATGCTCTTTTTTCTTCAAATTTTTAGAAGCAGAGTGTCAGTGCGTGGATGATAGTTTTTGGTTGTTTTACGGATTGGTATTATGGGGGTCTTAGTTTTCGTAACAATGAAAACTATTAAAGAGGGGTCTTTGTTTTTGAAATTACAAAAACTAAGACCCCTAAATTTGCCAATAAATGTGACCTAAAACTAGGTGGAAACAATAGGACAGAAGTTAATTTGACAGATTAGACCTATTTCGGGTACATTTTGACTTCATAAGCCAAGCTGTTTCTGGCGAGTTCTGATTTGCAGTCTCTCAGTGTAATAGTGTATGTAATACCTTTCAACTAGAGCTTTATTTAGATGAGACGCTCTTTAGGTAATTTCCATTGATACAAACATGTCTGCCGGATTTTCTATTATCCATAAGTTAACATAAAATAATATTTTTTTTATTTGTAGACTGACTCATTCTACTCAGCCATGCGACTCCTGTTGCCCCAGTTGGATAAAGAACGAGGTGCTTATGGAGTAAAAGAGGTAAGGCTATTAATGACAATTCTGTCATTAAAGCTACAGAGGTGAAACAGGAAGCCATATCTGACCACAGAGAAATTTTCAAGGCTGTAGGTGTTACAGGTCAAAATTAAATTCAGGTTAAAATTATTTAACTTAGGGTGATTCCTTATTTCTTTTGTCATCTAGCCCTAATTATTCATGAATTAGGACTCAAAGAGACAAAGGAAATTGAAAATCAACTTAGGTTAAAAAATTTAACCTGAATTTAATTTTGACGTGTAACATAGATTTCTAAAAACGACATGTCACCCTTAGATTTTTGTCAGGTAAAACTGTATGGCTAGACATCAATTATTTTTGAAGTACAGTGTTCATCATTCTTGTTGAGAAACACTTAAACATTCGACTAAAAATGAACTTATGGACAAAACCCAGGCAAGAAGTCCAATGCATTACTATCAATACAATAACTAACCAAGCAGGGGTAAAAAGGGATATAATTGTCAAAGGAAAGAATACATATGGCAGTAATAGGAAATTAAAACCAAGATCATACATGGAGCTGTTGCTAAAAGAAATATTACAGAAGACAATGATAAAACTACACAAAGGAAGTTTAAAAAGGGACACTTCGCTTCTTTTAGTCAATGGTATTGTTTTGTTGTTGTTGTTGAAAGGTTGTTCTGGCTAAGTACTACATGGAAATACTAAGCATAGGAAAGGATACTGCTGATGGACGAAAACTTTTAAACTACAGAGCTCCGAAAAATGCCAGACAGGTACATGTTCCAACTCAGCTGACAATTGAG